ATTGAGCTTAATACGTCTCACACAAATGTAGCTAGTTACAGAGTATTCGATGTTATAATTTTATTCAGATTTTTTTCATTAATTGAGTACATTAATAAATATTGTCCATTTAGGTTTTTTGACATTAAAATTACGAATTTGGAACTTATTTGTACGTTGCTCCTAAATGGCGCTAGTTTCGCCATATTATTTAGATAGGAAAGACAGTCCAACTTTGTCGGTTTTTAACTTGATTAAAAAGTTCCGCTATGCCAGTCCCAAGCCTGGGGCCTTGCCACACAAGGGGCAAGGAAGGAGGAGGGATCGAGGAGTAACACCTCGCTAAAAAACCTAGGTTCAGCTGGCCCCGGCTGATAGCACCTTGTAAGGGCCCCTTGTCCAGGGTTACGGATGAAGACCACACCGGCGGTGAAGGCGAAGAAGAAAGCTTCGATTCGGCGGAATCGGCGTAAGTGGCAACCTAGGCTTCTAGGGGTAAATTCAAAGCACCGAATGACTGCCGGTATAAGCAGTCCCCCCCTGTCGGTCAACAGCTTCGGGTGGAAGAACTGAGAGGAGTCGGGGCACTCTCTTGTCCCAGAAATGAGAAATCGTTTCAAAGGCGGAAGAACCAGCAGATGGTCAACGGCAGGGGAATGCAGAAGGCAACGGGAAACCACTGCATTAAAGATCTCTCTAGATATCCCCAGGATATTCATCCGATAAACTCTTATCATGTTGGAAGCTCAAACACAAATGGCCTCCAGTCCCGGGCAGACCTTAAATGGTCAGGAGGTGCGAAGAATCCCCCGGTTCCAACTGGATAAGATAACGAAAATGGCGACCTGGAATGTTAGAACATTATTTGCAGCTGGAAGGCTCGATAATTTGATTCAAGAAATGGACAGAATGAAAATAGAGATCCTTGGAGTGTGTGAGGTCCGATGGCCTGGAAGTGGGATGGTCAAATCAGGAGGAAAAGTCTTCTACTACTCTGGTGACAATGCTAATCGTAATCAACATGGTGTTGGTATCTTGATGAACGAGAATCTGCAGAAATCTATGAAGTGCTTTGTCCCAATCTCCGAGAGAGTGGCTCTCGTCCAGATACTTGGCAAGCCTCTAAACATCAATATTATCCAGGTTTACGCTCCGACAGCAGACAAACCTGAACAAGAAGTCGAAGACTTCTATAAACAAATAGATACGGCCTTGAAACTCACAAGGACTAATGAAATAAATATAATTCTTGGAGATTTTAATGCCAAAGTTGGCAGGGGCAGGACGGGGTCAGTGGTTGGCGACTGGGGTTTGGGTGAGAGAAACAACAGGGGCGAAGGGCTGGTTCAGTACTGCGAGGAAAACAATCTTATGATCGCAAACACATGGTTCAAACTCCCGGCAAGACGACTATAAACCTGGAAATCCCCACAAGACAATAATTATCACGTTGTTCGAAATCAAATAGACTACATCATAATTAACAGAAGGTTTCGAAATTACATCACCAAAATTTCTACAATGCCGGGTGCCGATATCGCATCAGACCACAACCCGGTGTGCGCCAACATTGTTCTACGTCTAGCCAAACCTAAGAGAAAGAGCCTTAGGAAGACATTCGACCTACAAAAATTAAAAGTTGAAAAAACAAGACTATCATATGAGGACCATCTTAATAAAGAACTAGAAAACGTTGTCAACACCAACGACACTGACAGGTACTGGCTCGATCTCAAGCGAGCCTTTACAACCACAAACGAAAAATTTCTCTTGAAAGAAAAAACAACAAGTTAAAACAAGTGGATGACCGAAGATATCCTAAAACTGATGGAGGAACGAAGGCAATGTAAAACCCAGAACGATTACAACAGATATGGAGCTCTTCAAAGGCGAATACGAAATGAGATCAGAGCGGCAAAAGAGAAATGGCTACATGAAAGATGCCTAGAGGCCGAAGGCCTTTGCAGGCTTGGGAATAGTTTTCACCTCCATAAAAAAGTAAAAGAAATAGCGGGGTTATACAACAACAGACCGCTTAGCCTCATTAAAAACCAACACAATGAAATAGTGACAGAACCTGAGGAATTGCTGCAAGTATGGAAAGAATACACAATTCTTCTTTTCAACGACGATAGACCAGATAATCCCCCAATAGAGATATCTACTCTCTCAGGACCGAGCATACTGAGGAGCGAAGTCACACATGCCATCAAGCTGATGAAAAATAACAAAGCTCCGGGCCCCGACGATATGTTCTCAGACACGCTTCATTTAGTCAGCGAACAAAACTTAGAAAAGATCGTGACACTTTTTAATAACATCTATGATTCCGGACACTTCCCAGCGGATTGGCTCCGCTCTACGTTCGTTGCAATGCCAAAGGTGAACAGCGCAACATCATGTAAGGATTATCGTCTCATTAGTTTAATGAGCCATTTTCTAAAACTTTTTCTCCGAATACTTCACACAAGGCTCTATCGGAAATGTGAGGAAGTGAGTTGGGCTAGTCAGTTCGGATTCAAGAGCGGGTTTGGAACTAGAGAAGCCATATTCAGTCTTCAGACGTTGGTCCAAAATTGCCAGGATCAAAGAAAGGATGTCTTTATGTGCTTCATCGATTACGAGAAAGCGTTCGACAACGTTAAACACGACCTTCTGATGACATACCTTGGAGAACTGGGACTAGATGGAAAAGATATAAGGTTGATCGGTAATCTGTACTGGCACCAGAGAGCGGAGGTTCGAGTGAGCAACGCTGGAACAACCGAAGATTTCGAAATCAAAAAGGGCGTTCGTCAAGGATGCATCCTGTCCCCCATGCTATTCAACCTATACGTAGAAAAGGCATTCTCCGAGTCCATCTCGGGTAGTCCTCTTGGTATCAAGATAAACGGAATCCCCATCAACAATATCCGGTACGCAGACGACACCGTGATATTGGCAGACAATGCACAGGATCTCCAGAGTCTGCTAACGCAGGTCAATGAAGAAAGCACAATATTAGGCTTAAAAATTAACATCAGAAAAACCAAGGTTATGATCGTTAGTAGGAGCGATATTCCTAATGCGCGAATACATATCAATGAAGAAAACATCGAGCAGGTCACACAATTTAAATACCTGGGATGCATGATCAATAAAGGATGGGACCCGGATCAAGAGATAGGATGTAGGATCGAACAGGCTAGGACAACCTTTTTGAGGCTCGGAAAATTCATTACAGACAAGAACTTGAACTTTGGCCTCAGATATAGAATGGTGAAATGCTATGTCTGGTCCGTCCTCCTATATGGTGTCGAGGCATGGACACTGAGGGCACGAACCATCAACAAAATTGAGGCTTTCGAAATGTGAATTCTACGACGTATGTTAAGGGTGTCTTGGGTCGATTACGTGAGGAATGAGGATATCCTAAGAAGAGCCGGCCTGGCAGAGCGAGAACTATTCGAGAACATCAAGAAAAGGAAAACAGGATATCTCGGACATATAATCCGAGGAGAGCGATACCACTTTCAGCGTCTCATTCTTCAAGGCAAAATTGAAGGAGGAAAAAGGGGAATAGGCAGAAGAAAGTTATCATGGCTAAGAAATATCCGACAATGGACAGGGATAAGTGACTTCCAAACGCTACAGAATGCTGCAATTAACAGAACCATCTGATAAGAAGGCGATGAACGCCCACGCAGGAATCTGCTTGGCACCTGAAGAAGAAGAAAAAAGTTCAAGGTATTTTTTCTGATTTTTAAAAATAAATTCTTATAAGATGAAAAGGTATGAGAAGCATGTAAAAAAAATAACAATAATAACCTGAAAAATCTAAATGTGTGTGGAAAAAGTGGTTTCTAAAAATAATTTATAGCAAACAAAAAACTTACCTTACGCATCGGACCTACTGTTTGAGGAGAATAAAATACTCGATATACGTCAGTTATACTGCTTTAGTATATTAAAAGATATCCACAAAGGAAAAATTCTTGTTCTTAATGCTAATCACACTTATCATACCCGAACAGAGAAAACAAGGGCGTCTATCCCACAGTTAGAACAAAAACCCACGGACAATGATCATATACGTATTTCTCACCTAGGTTATATAACATGCTAAAAGCATATTTAAGAGAACAAACCATCTTTACGAAATTTAAAAAAAATGTCAAAGTATGGATGTTTCAGACGGGCAGATGACTTTTTGAGGACCTCATTAACTTAAAATATCAAAGGTAAATAAGACTTGAATTATATTTAATCAAGCATAGTTTCTTTTTTTACCTAAATGCTAAATTATGTATATTCACATGCCTAGTGAGTCAATGTTTTAATCCTCATCCTATTTTTATTTTTGCTTACATATATGAGTAGACATTATATTACTATAAATATAACAAGTAGATTCTTTGCCTCGTTGTTATTATTGTAATTATTTTTAGTTTGGTTTAATATTGGTGTGTCACGCATAAGCATTTCGCATTGCTTCAGTGAAACAAAACATTTATTCCACTTAAATCAATTTTATAGATTATGTTATTGTAAAGTTTAAATTGAATAAATGTAATTATTTTTATTTTTATTATTATTATTATTATTATATGTTGGCAAAAAAAAGTATTTAAAGTTGTTTTTGGAAAAAAAAGTATTGCAATAATAATATAAATTATTGCATTAAATTATAATTTCATTATAATTTAATGCATCATAATATTAATAATAATACACAAAATAGTTATAAGCTTTTTTCTTTCCTATTTTCCTCGTCTTTTTCACAACGTTTTCTAATTAAAAGACACAAACGCTTTACAGATAAAACAAGAAATATATATTAATTAATTATATAACATTAAACATTTAATTAAACTTTAAAATCCAATTTTTCTTTTCAGTACAACTACTTAAATTTAAATTTAATTATAACAATTATATGAAGATATTTAAGCTAAGCTAAATAAAGTGTTAATAAGATTCTAAATACGTGTTGCCTAAGCATTAATGCGACTTCAGTATTTTATAAAAAAAAAACAGCTTACGTTTTGTTGAGAACGTTCTTAACCGCGTGCGTTCGTCTAAAAGGGCTCGCAATTCCGATCTTTATTTCCCGGGATTCCAGTCTCTAGTATTTAGTTGATTTTCCATTTTCTGGCGAGCAGAAGGTTGTACAGTTTCATTTTATCGACCTGCGCCCCTGTTGCCACTCCGCGGGTTTCACGCTCTTCGGTATATTTGTTAAAATGGCTACCTAACTCTCCCTTTACTCCCACCAGTTTTGCGGAATTAAATTTATTATAATTTCGGATGCTATCGTTTAGCTTGCATTCGGGTGACACTTCTGCAACTCCAATCGGGAAAACTGTGAGTGGGCAAATTTTAGCTAAAATCAAGTTATAAATTACAAGGCGAAGTAATTTTTTCATTTTATTTTTCGATATTTCGACATTACTACATTACAACATTAAAAGTCACGAAAAAAGAAACAAAAAAGATATAACCCAAAAATATTAAAATTTGTCTATTAATATTATTTTGTTGTTCTAATGTTATAAAATGGGTTGTTAGATAAAAATATCTTGAGGTGTTTTTTGAACTTTTTAATAGAGAGAAGTGTTAGCTATAACTATCGTTGTGCGTTTGAATTGGCGTCTTGGTATGTCAAAATATTTTTCTTTGACATGTGCACTTCGGAGTTTGAATCTTTATGGTTTAGTGAAGATTGGTCTCTTCGAGGATATTCGATTTATTTTTTTTAGATGTTTTAGCCCCTGTGGAAAAGGATTGTAGAGACGTAATCCAGCAGAAATTAGTAATTGTTTAATATATTGATGATTTTATCGTTGAAAGTACCAATTGTTTTTATTTCTTATAGTGAATTTAACGTTTACGGTTGTTATTCCTTATCCGCAAAATACAAAAACTTGAGCAAATATAAATTTCATCCATACGTATTTTCCACAGATCAACTTACGAAAGAAACGGATTGTCCAACACGAGTCGCATTCTGCAAATATATTTTAACTCTGGCGCAGGGAAGTATTTCGAAGGATATGATTCCCGAAACTCCAGCGGTTTAAATCAACATGTAGTCAGGGAACGAAATTATCAAAGATATTTAATTTAATGTTTATTGCGCTATAAGAATAGCGACGCACTGTGGAACGATCCTATATAAAACATATGGTTTTAGCGGCATATCTCTCACAGTCCTCCAAAATAATATTTACATTATTACATATATAAAAAATAATTCATCTCACGAACCATAATACTAAACGGGATACCATTGTACCAATGAGATGGCCGTATTAAGGATTAGGTAGGCATTTATTTTTCAATCGCCAAATTTCTTCAATAGATAATTTAATTTTTTCTGAGGCCCATTACAAAGGCCAATTGAAAAATATGTTTACTCATAATTTTCTTCTCATTTTCTGTTTTCTTGCTCAAACTAAGATGTTAAGAAAATGAGCCAAATTAATTAATATGCATGGTAGTTTGGAACTGATACATTTATTTTAAACGACATCGGAAAAGGCTATTAAGAAAAGTGTATTATGTTTTATCAAAACTCCAAAGCAAGCAAATGAATACCATTGTACTACATTAAAACTAATAAACTAAAGCGGAATAACTAACTTGAATATTGTATGTATATGTAATTGAAAAATATATTATCTCGATAAAGATAATAATGGGTACACTGTATTTTTCTAAAACTGTTACTGGGATTTCATGCTGACTTGTTCATTTTTAGTCGGAGAAAGAGGTTACTAATAGGTTGGAGGATAATAAACTATTAGCTTTATTAGCTAGTTATTAGCTTTCTCTTCATTTCTTATGTTTACTGAAAATAATTGACTTGACCATGAGGCATTTTGTTATAATAATTATGTTAACATAGTGTTAAAATATTATTTTATGTTTTACTTTAGGACACATACAAAGAGAAAATGTACAACAAATTGCAAACTGTATTAAATCAAAAGGGCTACATTTTTTTATATTTTTTAACACCTCGCTTCCAACTATAAAATTTTTTATGCTTAAAGGTTAAATGCGTAAAACAAATCTAAAGCAAAAAAATTAAATCGATATTTTCTTCAAAGGTGATAGCTAGGGCAGGTGATTTTTTAAATAATTCAACACTTCTAGGCAATCTTTTAAAAATCTGTTTCTAAAAAAAATTATATTTTTTATACCACCATAAAAACATATCAGAAAAGACAGTACTCTTTATCCTAATATTTACGTCACAAAATAAAAAAAAATCTTATGATCATTGTTTTGATTTTAACAACTTTGGAAGTCTAACCCTAAACACACAAAAATTTTTCAAGACGAAATGAAATAACTATTGCCAAATGCAACACAGAAAAATGAGTTTAATTTTTTTTCAACACAAACTTTTCAATAAAATTGTTCTACTTTGAAAAACTGTAATATTACTTTAGCTCATAGCTGAAACCTAATCTATCAACATTACACTTCCACATAATGGCTTAGTCTACGATTTCTTGCAAACAGTTTTCAATCACCAGTTTATAGCTAACAATAGGTCTCCTGACTTGGCAGTGGTTGATATTTTTATTGAGAGTACAATTAAAAATCTGGAATATAACACTCCAGTTAGATGAAAAGAAGATTCTATGCAGCGATTGAGGAGTGTGTTTCTGAGATGGTTTGATAACTATTTGTCAGAGTTGGATAAGTAAATACTTGTATCAGTAGTAGATTTTAGAGTGCCACAAGAAGCAATACTTACTCGGATTCTCTTCATAATTTTTATTTACTATATATTTTATATTGACTATCCATAGAAACAATGACGCATTTGAAGACGGTTTAAGAGGGATTAACCAAAAGGAACAACTAGAGCACGCTTATGGAATCAACACGCTTTTCTTTTCAGGTTGATTTCGGAGAAGTTTTCATCCCACCAAACTTAGAAGTTCCGAAGCCACGCGTCTTGCCCGAATTCAAGAGGTTAGCGCACGGTCTCCGTTCCGACAATATCAGCGTTTTGGACGCCAAAACATTTTACATTCCCAATTTACATTATGACGGTGCCGGTCCGGATGCGTATTTTTGGGTTGGCAATGGATCTGAACCTTCGGCGTTTGGAATCAAGGTATAGTTAACATATTTCGAAAAAGGATTAAAGGAAACTAGGTACTAGTATTATAATTTAAGTATGAAGATTATGACCGTTCGATTTGCTGCGAAACTTAAAATATGTAGGATGATTCGCGGTGGATAGCAAGTTTGTACGTCAATTTTGATATTTTTTAAATAGCTTTATTGCAGCGATATTCAAATTCGTAGGGAACTGAAACTTTGGCTATACTTCATCATGCAATACTTCTATGTAGACAAGTTCATTAAATCAACCATTCAAATATTTATATCAATATAGATAATTTGGCAAAAATTAGTTACAAATACTTTGGATTTGATATTGGTGGTCACAATAAGGGCAGCAAGGTACGGTACTACAGAAACAGATGGTCCTAGAAAGTTGAAAACATATATTAAAATAACAGAAAGTGATGGAAATTATTTTCAATTTTATGAAATATCCACCATTGTTATCTTAGATTTTAAAACTCGGTTTCCACAAAAAATTCTAATGTTAACCGTAGTTAAAATGCATACTATTTTAAAGCTGAAACAAATTTCAATCTGTTTTGGTAATGCTCTTTGCTCTGTCTCTGCAAGAAAAATGGTGGAGAATGTTCATTTCACATTTAAAATTTTAAATGTCTGTATCTCCAAAAATTCTTTATACATTTTAAAAAATTTAAAACCCTTAAAAAAGGGCTTTTCCTAGGCTCTCAATGGGTGACGCCTTGCCTTGCCCCACCAAGTGGAATTTTCCAATTTAATCGCAATAAAAAGTTCTGAAAAAATAGTAAATTCAACAATATATCATTTTTTATCATTAGATGTTCAAATAACGGGCACACAACCCAGTGAGCACTAAATATCTTTAAGGGTTTATATTAATGTCTAAGTATCAGGATTTTTTCAAATAAAACACTGGTTTATTAGATGGCAAACGATATTTAAAATCAATATATGTTTATTAGGTTTTTACAAAACCTTCGAAAGACACAAATTTTCAGATATTTAGTGTTATCACTTATTTTTCAATTAATAATTACGTTTAATCACTAACTGGGTCACTAATCAATTGTTGGAGACTGATTTTATTTATGTAGTTAATATGGAAAAGCATTTAACTACTTAAAATTTGTTAAATATTTATTTTCCTTAAAAATGAAATTAGGCCATCATGTTAAATCGTCAAAATTGATTAATTTAGTGCCTTTCAAAGGTATTGTTTTGATTTCAAATATTATGTGGTATCCCAAAGACTGACACTAGCGTTTTTTTTTTTTAATTCTGGACAATTAGGCACTAAACTAATAAATCCAATCAATATGTTTCTCAAAATCCAACTCGTTTTAGCGTTCAATTCTTTATTGACTTTATAATGACATACAAAAAGTTGATCAATAGTTCACAAAAAGAACTTTCTAATTTTCGTTCGTAGTTTCTGAGTTATAAGGGTCGGGAAACTTACTTCGGACGCCCGGATTATTTGTAAATAAACAAAAATCACTTTATCTCGCTACATCAACTGTTAGAGCAAATCCTTAAAATGAAGAATTATTAGTAAGGTAATCAAGTTCAAATTTTTACACCAATAAAAAATACATTTTTTCATTCGTCCTACACAGGGGCGATTAAAATTATGAATTGCCCTGCATATGGACAGTTACGTGAAAAGGATTTTATTCTCTCTGGTCAATCTTTGATTGCTGAGAATCGGGATCTTTGGTAACTTGTTCGGTTGGAATTTACATCGCCTTTGATGCATTTGATCAGTTCTTGGAGTTCATGAACGCCTTCTGGAACTGAAATCAGTCGTTCTAGATTATGTTCGTAAAAGAACTAATGCTACTAAAATAAATAATTTAATTTTAGTTATCCAAAATCGGTGAGAAGGTTTTTCTAAAACATTTAACAGTCTGTAAATTAAAACAATTTAGCAAATTGTTGTTTTTCAGAAAAAACAAAATTATTTTTGAAAGAACTTTGAAAAAAAAAAAGTTTAAAGTGTGTCAATGTAATATGAATAACGAAATTTTCTTCATATTTATAGGTACCAAATGAGATGGGTTCGTTGGAACCTCTACGAGGCTATCTCGGTGAGGATATAGAGATACAGCTTCCCGGCTCATTGACGGTGTACGACATAGATTGGTTGGCTGTATGGTGCGTTCAGTACAGACACAACTTTGGACATGTAATGATACCGAAAGACCTCGATGTTCCTCCCGCATTAGGGCAAACTAAAATATCCGTAAGTAATTGGAAAAATTTTTGAAGTATCTGCTGAATAACTCGTATAGAGTTTCTCTCACCATTCGGATCTCGGAAATGGTAAGGGCATACCCGATTTTGATTTACGAAAGTATGGAAGACAAACTGAAAATTGCTTTTTTTGTGTTTGTTTTTCACTAGTTTAATTTAGAAGTTCAGAATGTTGAGAAAATTCAACGAAATTTATCCTTATTTGATAATATTCAATGAAAGATAGTTAGCGCACAAAATTGCTTGCAATCGGTATTGTGATATGTTAAGAAATACACAATATGAAAATGAATGAAAAAAAAAATATTTCGAAAACGATACGATCTTTAACAACTACATGTGGAACAAGCAGCTGATTTGCAAATAAAATGCCGTTGTACCAAAATGATTTCATTTAATTGTAAATATAAAATTAACATTTTTTATGATGTATGGAATTATTTTTACTATTTAATTATATATTTTATAGTATTTAATTCATTATTTGATAATCGAAAAATTCTGGCATGTAAATATTGGTTTTTAACTAAAAGTGGGTTTTAACAAATTAAAATAAAAAAAAATAAAAATAGACCTTCACTTTTCCATATTTCTTACAATTTAGTACGTAGTTGTTGTTGTGGGTAAGTGCCTCCTATTGAATTAAGATCCGGGAATGTAACAAAACTTTAATGTTCTCCAATCCATTTTTTGCTTGCCTTCGATAAAGTTTAAAATTCCAAACTATTTGGCTGGCATACAATGATGCCCTGCGCTTTCCGTAATCTTCTACGCAGACATCAAATCTGCTGTCATCGTTATAAATAATTTTATCTCAGTTATGTTTGTTCCACGTAAGTTTTCATTTGGTCCAGGTATAACAATTTCTTTTTTGAGTCTCCGTCAACAATTTTCTTTGATCTATTCAAATAAGTCAAAATATCGAAAATTTATACCTGCGGAATAAACCGCTGGTTATATTTGCGACAGCTTTCTAAAGAAAGAAAAACCTACTATCAATCCAAGAAAGTGGGTTTTTAGGTAGTCATCTGCAGTTTTAATGTATATTTCAGTCTGCTAAGTTATGAAAATGCAGGTTTTGACTATAATAAACTCGAAATCAAGAGCGGAAACCATTTATTTGTCTCAAAAAGAGTACATATATAAGTACATATCTGCTTTTCTAAGGTAGATTTGGGTGCATTAAGAAGCGAAAAAGCAGATTATGGCAGGGATCTTATCGAAATCGGCAACTATTTGACTCAGAAAGGGCATTTTACATCGATATTTAATGGTTTATAAACATTTTCTCTACCATAATGCTTAAAGACGGCAATTTTGGCTAGTATTTGAAAGATATTGACATGAATATGTAAGTTTTTGGATCAAAAAGTGATAGTTTAAGCTGATATTTGCAGTTTTGGTGCTGTTTTAGGTACGATATAAGTTGGAGAAGCCGATTTTGACCGGAATCTGTTTAAAAAATAGAAGAAAAACGTTTTACCAATCCAAGAAAGTGGGTTTTTATGATGTTATCTGCAGTTTTAAAGTGAATTTCAGTCCGATAAGTTATGAAAATGCCGGTTTTGACTATAAGGTGCTCGAAATTAATAGCTAAAACCATTTATTCGTCCCAAAAAGAATGGTTTGAAGTACATATCTGCTTTTCTAAGGTAGATTTAGGTGCAACAAGAGGCGAAAAACAGATTCTGACTGGGATCTTATCGAAATCGGCAACTATTTGACTCAGAAAGGGGGTTTTACACCGATGTCTAAAGATTTATAAAGGTTTTCTCATTCCACATTAAACACAGCGGTTGCTAAATCATTTCCCTGGAAATTTCAAGCTTTGTTTTCCCTTTATGGTACTGACGAATAATAATTTCTCACATTTTTGGATCAATAAGTAATAAAACTGACGCTTGTTTATCATTAATACTCAAACGACTAGTTACAATTCTTTTTGATAAAGCCTAATTCGTGACAGGCTAATAAAACATGAGGAAAAGCAAAAGATATTCCAATATTTAATTGTCAGCATTTTTCGATTATCGAACATATAACTAAATGGCAATAAATACAAAATTTAAATAAAATAATTTTTACATACTGCCAAGGCAAGTTAATTATCATAAAGTTATATGCAGAACAGATTTTACAAGATTAGCTGCAAACCTTTCGAACCATGCATGGAACTGCAAGTAGACACACTTTCCATCTACCCTGGATCATTACATAGGCATACGCTCAAAATCTCATTTTGTAAAATAAAATTCTGACACGCCTTGGATAGCTATACATCTCTTTAGACAAATAAAACATACGAGGACGGCATGGAGTAGATTTAAAGCCTCTGCCTCTGCTGCCGATTATGTTCTGCGCAGAAGAGTTTCTGATAGTTTATTCTTGGTGATGAGAGAAGCGAAATGTACCTTAGAAAATAATCTACCTAATCGACCCAAAGCGTTTTATTCCTACATCAGACAGCACGTGTTCTTTTAAGAATACTTTGCATATTTTGCTAGTGTGTTTGTTGATGAACCCACTAATCTACCGTCTCACTATGAGGGGACTGAGAATCTCAATTTCTTACGAGACATTCACTTTGATCAAGAGGACGTGAAAAAAAATTCTTTCTGAGATAAAACAATATTCTTGAACGCCTAATAGTCAATCAGTTGTTGCCCTTCTTGATCGACTAGCTATATGGTAGCATAGCTTTGGTCCTGCCAGATTAATTATATCAAATACACTGACATGTTTAAATCAGTGGACTCTGCACTCGTGACTGGTAATCCAGTAGACATTATCTACCTTGACTTCATACTTCATACTTGATAAAGTGCCATGTCGACGCTTTTTATTAAAACTTGAAAAGATCGGACTGCGAGCCCAACTGTTGGAATGTACAGTACAGATTCTTAGTGTATAGCGGGGACTTGCTCTCTAGCATATACTGTCGCGTGAGCGCTGATTCTGATGATACTAAATTATTTTAAAATCCTTTAACACATGCGAATGCTATGCTCAAAATAATCAAAATACTTGATCTGCCAATATTAGGTCAACGTCGGCTGCGGGGATCTCATAAAAATGTTTAGGTTAGTGTGATCTTAAGCAATAATAAACGCCTACGTGGTTATTCATTTAAAAGAAGCAGAGAATAATTCAGGACATCACACCGGTTGCATTTTATAACAGGATAGTCGAACATTTTAACAGTCTACCCGAAAATGTGTATGCACTGAACTTGTGTGTGTTTAAAAGTCGCTTGCATAGTATTTTTTCTTAACTAAATACTGTATGACATTTTCATGCCACTTATGTGTGTTTAATCTTATTGGCAAAGTAACTGGATGATCTTAGATCATAGAGTTGTTAGAGCTAGTTATAGATAGGATTCGCCAAAGTGTTAAGCAAAAATAGTCAGAAGAAAACACTGAATTTAAAAATATAATAAAATGCAACGTTGTTACAATATGTTATTGTTGGGAATAGCAAAATAATTTGGTTTGATATGACAAACGTTCCGTAAACGGCCTCATCATTAAAAACGGTAACCTGTATCTAATAAAATTGATGATGAAAAAACGAAGCGTCGTAAGGAATTTTTTGCTATGACAATTGACTCAATTTGAGCTACCTGCTGCTATTTCCATTTCCCAGATCCTAAGGTGAATCGAATAGGAGACGCCCGGTATACCGTATTATATTCATTATAAAATACATTATGATTTTCGCTAGATGGCATTTCGCTCATAAAATCTAATTAGTTTATATTTGTACTTATTTTTACGCCATCTTTATGTTATTCTTCATAAGCAGCAAATTCGGAAATTAAACAGACAATTTTAACGTTCGACGTTTTGAAGCTAAAATATATTTCAGAAAAGTGTAGAATAATAAAATTTCTCTAGATATGCAAAGGAACTACAGAGTGACCCAACGAATTTTTTGGACAATGGGGGCTATGCAATAAGTACATTGACTTTAATGTCAATGGTGAAAATATTTCAATTCATTATTGAAAAAAAATGGTTATGCTGTAATGAGCCTTGAATTAAGAATATTGAAATAAAAAAATGTTGAAATTAACGTCAAGTTTGCGTTTAACTAATAAACAAAAAGAATATCTTGAAACTTAACTCATTATTTTATGTTAATTGTTTCTGTTTTTTTATGTACTGTGATCGACGTGTAATTGCAAAAATAATAATTCTAAAGATTCCAAAGGTAAGTGCAGAAAATTAAGTATATTAAGTATGTATTTATTGTTCCGTTATCTTATTCGGCGGGGTTGTAGTCATACCAATTGGGTCTTAATGTTAATGATTATACTTTTAACGTTTTCTTGCAGATGACCCCTAAAAAAGCAAGTAGTATAAAATGATTACAGACCTTATTACAAAAGAAAATTGCATACCATTTCGGAAAGACACCTCTAAACACAAACAAAATAGGCATGGGAACAAATTCCCAATGGCCTTAATTCTATGGGAGGGATAAATAATTAATTAATAGATCTATGGCCACGATTATATTCCCTCTGATTATTTGTAATTTTTTTGGAAATTGGTGTAAGTAGCTATGATTTCAAAGAATCTCCCTACCATTTATGATCATGAAATGAAAAATTAAGCTTACCTAATAAGTATGACATCTGGTTTCTATTTTCCATAAAACAATTTGCTAGATGAATTCCTACTCTTGATGATGGGCAAATCCTGGATATATTTAAGATTTTTAATTTTACATTATAAGCCTGTAAGTGAAAAAAAACTTTCACTTTTTTATACTTACTGTTTTACCACATTGTTTCCTGAAATAAAAGATTACTTCAGCCATTTCAGGGATTTCACTATTTGGAACAATTCTGGCTATGTGAATGCAATCAATATACCCTATTACACCAGAAAAACCATCCATTTCCATAAATCTATTACACATGTTTAAATAAATAATATTTTATTGGCAGTTGATTAGAATTGCTTCTTATGGTTTACTTATTTATTTATTTGTTTCAGGAAACGTTATTATATAACCAAGACAAAAAATGTAGTAATGCGAATGACTAAAATAATAAAAAAACATATTTCTATTAACGATTAAGCTTTCGTTCTTCATACTTATTCACCCTTAGAGTTTTAGGAATAGCTGTTTCTGCATCTATGTGATGTTCAATTTGACAAAGGAGCCAGTGACTCAGTTCTCTGGATACCCTAAAAAAAGCTAGTTTCTGGTAATGATAAGGGATTACTCCGGTCTCTGAGCTGCCTTCGTTGTAAGTTTAAATCACGTGTATAAAAAAATTGTTTGTTTTTTCTTTCTATAACTTTAGAAAGTCATAAAAAAGTAAATGCAAAAAGAAATTTGATAACTTAGTTTTGGGTATTTTTAGTTAAAAAAAAAACTATTTGATTTAAGATTTAGCTTTGAATTTCATCTGGAAGCAATTCAACAAACAAAACTAAATCCATTGCATTGATTAGTCATAAAAAATATATTTAGGTTATGTTTCTTGCTTGAAAATAATTTGTTACCTGGCTAGTTTCCCTTCTCGATAGAATTAGTGACATTTTTTCAACCTTGACTTGGAATTATTTCAATTTTTTTTCTTACAGCATACCAATTATTGAAATTTACAATCCCTTACATTTTTCACCTTCTTAAAATGATTTATTTCAATTATTGATTAAGAGTATCTTCCTGCATGCGAAATTTTAGGGTTTATTGAAATTTCTGTCAAATGGCGTTTTACGTCATAATTTCAACATTGACATCAATTCAAAGTAAGTCTGCATAGGGCTTATATCGGCATTTATTTCATTGCTAATTTTTTTTAACCAAGTCCGGGTCCTAACTGTTATCCGTTTACCAACACAAAAAATGGTTGCTTTTAGAATCTCTCTTCCCTACCAATATTGAGGATTGTCTCTTTCCTTTTGCTATTTGTTTATTTCATTTCATCTTCTCTTGTCTTCTCTTTCTAGAGAAACTGCTTTTCGGTGAGTGAATGAGTGAACTTCGTGTGGTGTCTTTAACTAGTCTGTTTGCAGACATTCGAGAATATCGGTTGACAGTTTCTTGTACGGGGTGTCAAGTTTTGAGTATTTTTGACGGGTATCTCCATTATTAGGTTTGAAGATAGAGGACATTTTTGAAAATAACTCCATTGTCGAAAAAGGAAAATAAAATTCTTATATTTTTTATTTATTTTTACTAACTGGACGGACTTTCCTGTTTTATTACTCTACATTTTTCTGAAATTGCTTATAGCTTGAATTTGACCTTAAATAGTTAAACTTAACTTAGACCTAAAAGAGTTAACAGTCAAACGAGAGCCTCACACGTAAAGGGCAAGCAAAAATATTTTTTTCATTAAAGTTGCAATAATATCGATATTATTTATGCAAAAATAAAAAATATCTGAAAAATAGAGAAAAGCAATAAGAATACCGAAATAAAATTTCGTAGATAGAAAATAAGTAAGATTCCCAATTAACAATGATTGAAATAAAATGCTTCATACATCACTGCAATATTGAAAACTCTTTTAATTACGGGGTTAAAAATGTTAATTGTACACATTTCAATTTCAATGTATCTGCAAACAAAATAAAATTAAAAAGGTCTACCGGTTTTGTGTTGCTATAAATTAAATTTCATACTCCTTTGAAACTCACACGAAACTCTTTTATTCTTAGCCGCCCTGGTGGTATAACCCTGTAAGTACCACAGATGAAACCTTGTCTACCGTAGAAATCTAGTTAAATTGTATACTTGTGCCAATTTCACGTAATATAAGCTTATAATTACAATTTGGTTTTTTATTTTTCTTTGCCCCTTAAATTGCTTCTTCATTAGATTATTATTTGCTGTTTTTTTTATTTTTTTTAACACAATTTCAAGTAATTTCAACATGTAGTTTGCTCTGTTAGAAAAATGCGGTGGCGTACCACATTTTGCTTTAAAATGCTTAAGTTAACACAAAAATCAAATTGTACCAATCTACATTTGTATGGACATTTTTGTTGGATTGGGAGTTGACTGTTGAATTCCTGAGACAAAAAACGCTCTGTGTATCGTCTTCATGGAGATATTGTAGTTTTTGATATATACATAAGTGGACGTAGCGGTTTTAGAAATGCTGTCAAAAATATAGTCAAAAAGTAAATTTAATATGTTCCGCTCTGTTAAGTCGACTTTCGTTTTTCTCATATAAATACCAATTAGTTTTTCTTTTTTATATAAATGGTTTTAGTTGGTTGGTTGGGTTGCAAAAAAAGGGTAAAAATTTTTCCTTTCACTTCAGGTTTCGTATCGTTAAAAATTCAGTTCGATTTTCTAAAGGCAAGTGAATAGTATTGATGCGCTCTTGTTTTGACAAATATTGGTTTTAGAACCATTGCTAGACACAGTGTTTTACGAGAAACGGTATCTCTCGATTCTGAACAAATTGTAAAATCTGTTTATAGTTCCTGTCTTCTGTTTATCGACTGCTGCGAATGAATTATGTGATTTGGCTGATATGTACTTGACTTCGGTGAAAGAAACAAGAAGAAATTGTATAGATTTGCGTTCCAGCAAATGTTTTCACGAAGGTAGTAGCAAAGCAAAGTAGCAATTACACTACGAAGTGTGAATAAATGCCTTATTAATGACGAAACCCAAATATTCTCTGGAATTACTAGCTTTTGGAAAATTTTGTCCAAAATGGGTTCAAATGGCACAGTACTTCTGGAATCCTAGCAATTAGAAAATTCCTGAGAAACGTTCAATTATTTACCTTAGCAAAGGATGGTTAGATTCTTCTGCATGGTGTAGACGAGGTGTCCTTTTTTCATTGTTTAACTATTTTTAACTGATTAGAAAAAAAGTGCGAGGACTGTAGATCACTAAGCTTAATCAGTCAACTTTGGAAATTTTTCTCAAAATAATTATATGTATATGTAATGTATAAATAAATAAATATGTATATGCCGATTGATTCTCAGAAAGTGATGATGAAATGGTCAATATATAGGCATTAATGAAAAAGACAAAACATATAAACACACAGATCAGATAAAAATACAGAGAGGTGTGAGACAGCGATACATTCTGTCACCGATTCTGTTTACTGTAATCCGAAATATATTTGGGGAAGGACTTGATGAAAAAGGAATTACCATAAATGGCAACAAGTTAAACAATATAAGATACGCAAATGATATTACCATGTTTCGGATTAGAACTGAATTACTGATAGCAAGTATAGAGAGTTTTAGAGAAGCCAAACTTTTTATCAGCCAAGTTAGCATATAACGAGTGAAACAGTACAAATATTTGGGGATGGTCATAAATAAGAAATGAGTCATCTTACAAGAAATACGGTGTCGTACTGAAAAGGCAAAATAGGTGTTTGTCCAAATGAACCCACTAGTTTAATCCTATAATTTATCTTTAGACATAAAAATCAGACTGCGGCGTTGTTTTGGCTTCTCATTCCTCTCTTATGGGATAGAAACACGGGCATGCGGTAAAGAAACAACTAAAAGATTGGAAACATTTGAGCTCTGGCTATATACAAAAATATCTTGGATACACAGAGTTAGTAACCAAGAAGTGCTGAAATGAATAAAGAGAGAATAAACAGCATAAAATTTCGGAAACTCCACTACCTCGGTGATATAATGAGGAACTCAGACTACTACAAGAAATCCTTCAAGGCAAAATCAACAGCAAGAGAGGACCGGGCCTAAGGGGCAAACCTAAGAATGTGGTTCAGTAAGTCATGAGCAGAGGTTTTTCGAATCGCCGCAAATAAAATAAGAATAGGAAACGGATATACACGTAAATAAGAAGAACTGAATTTATTTTCATTTTTGGTTTGCTTTCAATGTTCTCTTTGTGGCGGAATGTTTGTAAGTTGATGTTTAACATTTGTTGCTTGCATCAATATTGTTTAAATCCCTTTTCCGTTTTTTATAAACAAGTAATGGTTGACAAATACGAAAGTTGACTTAGGCCAAGCGAAATATGCATAGTCGGTCGACGATATTTTTAATTTTTCTAAAATTGCCGTGCCCGCCTTAACCACGACTTAAAAATTAAAGGACCTCAGCATTTATTGTTGAATTGTGTTTCTTCTTGAATTATTCATTCAACCTACTTGTATCTCCTATTTCCATTATAATCATTTATACGGGACACGCTGCATATACGGGTTGCTTGCTTCACTAATATCCAGATGGAGTTAAGCTGTCCAATAAAATAAAATGTTTATGTTCATTGATATTTCATTATTGAAACACAGGATTGTGTGCTGCTTAACATTCCTTTGTTTAATTTTGCTTACGATTGTTTAAAATAGAAGTAAAATCGTAATTTAATCCGCTACAAAAATTAATTTTCTTTTACAATTTTTTTTAAAATATTCCAATATGTCTGTTAAAGCATTTTTTTTGTTTTTTTAAATCGAGGGTTCGCTTATGTTTTATATTATATTTCATATTTATTTACCTTTTGTTTTCTTCGCACTTTGTTTCGGTTTTACTTAACTATTTTTGTTTCTTATTACCTCTTTCTCTTGTCCCCAAAGACCACATCAACTCCGATGCCGGCTTCAACAAATTGCCGAGAGTTTTTAAACAAACGGTTACAAGTGCGATGGCTGATGCAAGGTGAACAAGTCGAAATTATTTTATCGGCTAAAATAAGCGAAGATAAGTACATTGCTTTCGGCATTTCGGGAGCGGATAACAAAGCACAAATGGTAAGTATTTTGATTCTATTTTCTAAAACATATCGCTTTACAAAGGGTGACTTGTTCATAAACTTTGGAAGACATGTTAATGTTATACCATCTCATTGTATAGAAATTAAAAAAGCAAAGCAACAGAAGATATTCATTTCAATTATTAACCAGAGTTTTATGCAACTTTTTATTTTCTTAAAAGGCTTATTTTTAAATGATGATTGATGTTACAATATATTAAAAATTTCTGAATTTGTAAACATAAAATTTCCTTATCATTTTGTAAATCGCAAATTAGAAACAAATTATTATCTAAGACGTGCTTAGTATTTCTTCCATAAACACTTATCTGAATATAGCTCTCATTCTTAGATATGAATCGAGCTCAAATAAAATTTCCTATTCGAAGAAGTAAATACTAAAATGATTGAGTAAGTTGTTACAGTATTTATAAACTATAAAACTTATGAGAAGAAACAGTGGCCAATGTTTTTTAGCAAGTGAACTAGATATTTACTGTGAAATGGAATAAACTGTTTTTAATTCAACACTTACTATGGATTGTTACTTTACTTTTTTTTATTATCATGACGGTTTTCAAACCAAACACTGATGGACCAATATGATATTCCATACGATCATCTGATATCTTTTCCACATTTACTTATACCTGCCTGCCTGGCAGATTCACTTACAAGTTCGAAGTACATATTTAAAGTTATAATAGTTCCTAGAATTGAAAGTGATACATTCTTATACTGCTAAAAACTTAGACAAAAATTAATTGGATTCATTGGACACTTTGAAAATATGAAATTTTTGTATATACCGGATGTTTATATTTTCGTGAACAAATACCAATTTTCTTATTTTAAATGGAATTCTATGTATCTTGAGATATTTTCATCGTTTCTGAGATATTTTGAATTTTATTCCACAAGTGAAATTTGGAGGTCTCTATAATTTTGTAAGGAAACGTCCACGTTCTAATCGAACTTGCTGACGTTTCGCCAATCATCCTGTTCGACTTCTCCAGAGCTTAACCGAAGCTGGGTTGCATGCTACTCTGTACCTCTGTATTGTTTGAAGTAGGCGAAGCTAAATGAAGGAAATAAATATTGTCTCAGATGACGGATTCCCATATTTTTCAAAGCTTAAGACCTAAGTGGCGGTTAAGATTATTTGCTTGTTTTGAAATTAAAATGGATCCTCAGATTTATACTGTTGATTTATACAATTGATTTTTTGTGGTTATCTTCGGCAACTGCTGATGAGTTTATTTGTCGTAATGTTTCATGTTCTTTGGTCCGGTTAATAATTTTCATACAGTGTCCCCAATGTATTCTTGGTTTCGCAAACAGATTTTTTTCTTTTATGGATCGAAGATGTCGAGAGATTTTTGGAAAAAAAGTGTTATTAACATATCTCTTAAGGTCTTTTGATATGTGGTTAGTAATGTTTTGAATATAAGGAAGAACCACAGTGAGGTTGCTTTCGAACTCATTTTCTTTTTGGGTTGTGGAAGTCTTTGAGTTTGTTTCCTTGTGGAAGGATATCTGCTTTAGTGGCCTGTGTTGAAATATTAACATTAAAATTTTCATTTCAAATATCGTTATATTCTTTTTAATTACAAACAAAAATATTCAGATAGGCAAACACTGAGATGGAATAGTGTATAGCAAAATAATAAACTATTCTATTCTATTTTATCTAGCATTTCCTCTATCATTAATGTTCTATTTAGAAAACGTCGTATAGATAAGAGATTATTTGTTTTATTAAAATATAATAAAAGTAACAAATGGCTGAGTTAGGTGACATATAACTGTCAATCACTTCGAAATTCACAGAAAGAAAATAGTGACGTTTCTGTATGGCTCGATGGTGTTATTTTTTTATAGCGAAATATTAGCACAAATTGCAAGCCATATAAGATTTTTACAATTTAAAAAATTAGTAGAAAGTCACTCTTTTTTAATTGCGAAATACTTGTACTTATTTAAATTGTTAATATCAATTTTTGACCATCCTGTATTTATTTACTTGAAAGTATAAGCACAGGTCACTAGAATAGATATCCTTATATAAGAAAATAATAATAATAATTAAATGAAATAAAACTAGTCATGTTTGATTAGTTTGGCAAGTAACACTTCTCCATAAAAATGCAAACATCCTGTATATTTAACAATGTAATTAATATCTTAGAAGTATAAGTGAATCCAAACAACTTTTATTTTTGTTTGAAATGTTTCACAGATTCTGAGGCAATTAATGGACCACTGTGTACCTATTAATTGAAACCCCATATATAATAATCCCAACATTCTTATTAGACCTTTTAGAAAAAATATTTATTTAAAAAATGGTTAACATGGGTTCCTTCAAAGGTTACAGATAAGACTGGAACAATGCAGCGATGCTAAATGGGTTAAAAGGACTACAATATAATTGTTGCTTCATTGCTAAGTTGCGAGAAATATAAAAATCTTTTAGGTGGGGGGAGACGTCACGGTGGCCTACTACGACAAAACGACCGAAACTTTTCACGCAGTGGACTACTATATTTCACACGCATCACAGTGCGATGGAAAATCAGGGGTATGTCCGGATGAACGCATCGGAGGTCGAAACGACGTCACTCTACTTTCCGGGGAAAGGACAAACGGAATTACCACAATACGTTATGTAAGGTAAGGACCTAACTATATACATGGTGGGCCAAACAACTTGTTTTCTCATATGACACATCTTATTGAAAGACACTCCGGTTTCCAGGCCTAGAATTTTTCAAAAAACTCACTGGTTCAAAGGAAGATCTGCTTGCAATAGTTTGGGCGCTATAGGACGTTTGTAAAACAACAAAAAACAATTCCATGAAACTTTTTAATTTTCATTAAGTTAAATTCGAAAGACATTTTACAAGCAGGTTTTTTTTGCAAAATACAGAAATACTAAAAAATGTGTACAGGGTGCTCCATTATGAAGCGTTATTTATTTATTTGCGTGAAAAATATATATGGTGTTAAAAAAAAGAACAAAAAATAAGTTACATTGATCAACAGGTATGCCAAAAACAGTAATATTTGACAATTTCAATCAGGTACAAAGGGTATTGGAAAAAGGAAACATTGTAACTGTCTCTTACAGCGGGATCACAATTGATGACGTCGCAAACATACCTACGAAAAGAACCCTGGACAGGAAAAACCTATTTCTGAACAAGATCTACGTAATTGTAATTAATATCAGAAACTGCAACGACGATATCTTCGCTACCACCCGAGATATTAGGTGTTTTCCAATTTTAGTTCATTGGCGATATATTTGTTTTAATAATTATCTGTTTTCCTCTCAAATGAATACAGCGTTCTCATTTTTTCTTGGCAATTTCAGTTTGTTATAGACTTAAAATAATGCTCGTCTTGGGCCTATTTCAATCATTTTTTGGCTTAGTTGTAAGTAGGCTGCGCATATCGTTGTCTATGTCTAATAAAGGGACCACCTTTATGTTATATTCTTTTTTATCATAGAAGACAATGAGGAGGCTAAATTAGCTGCGCTTCCTCGTGCTTAACATTATTCTAAATTTTTAAGTTCTAAGTAAACCAGAAAATTCTTTGATCACTTCCATTGCAATGTTTCTTAAGAATCTTGGCCTAAAATTAAGAATAACAGAAGTATTAACATCATTAACATTATTCGCATAAGTATTATGACAAACGCAGAAAAGTAATTGGCCATCTTATTTCGAAATAAATAAGAAAAATGCCATCCTTTTTTCTTGGACCCCTGTATATTCTTAGTGATAGTGTTTGCAAATCTTTCAAATAATATGAAAGCTCCGACGTCATTCAACGTTTAATTCAGTTTGTGTTTTAAGACGGAGTTTTGTTTCATAAGATCGTAACCAATTTGTAATAATGGTAATAATTTGATTATGAAAGATTAGCAAACAGTAGAGCTAAAAATAAACAGGTTATTCATTTATTTTAACTCATTTGAAAATGGGCTTAATTTTTTTTAGTTTCCACGGTTAGTTACATTTTTTTTTTAAGTTTCTCTGTGATATCTTAAACTGATATTGACAGATGTATGGTCTACCTATCCACAAAATGCTTTATACTTGTTATATCTGTATTTCGCTTCACACATATCGAATCGTTCCTAAATTAGGATCAAACTATTAAATAGAATAAAACTAATGTGGTAGCGGCGATACTTACTGCTACTTTCTTAGAATATTAAATATAAGAATATTACGATTAGGTTAATTGAGATACTAATTATTCTAAGATAGACGAACGATAAATGGTCATGACAGTAATAATGGTACTTTTCAAAGAAACTTCCGCAGGCTACTGTAATGCTATTTACGAAACTTCTGGATTCCTCCTGCGTCGGTTGATGTAGAGTCGAACTTTCTAACGTTTAACTGAAATGTTTGTAAATTGTAATAATGGCATTAACGTCTTTATCTGCGAGTAAGCATTTAAAATACCACTCTACCGTTTCTAAACACTTTTATTATGCCTCTGTTACATCGTTCCTTCTTCTCTAGAGAATCATTATTCATAACGTAAGGTTGACTTCGGGAAGCCTGTTAACTGTCGTCCCAGTAGTAGCTTGACGCTTTTAGAAGATCCACAAACAAATTTTCCATTAAAAAATGTAAATTATTAGCGGATTTTTTTATTTGCGTTATTAACGTTGACTAATATCTTTAAACATATTTTTAAAACTTATAAAAAAGATAAGTATAGTATTATATAAATTTTTCCTTCATATAGTGGTAAAACGCAGCCCATATTCATATGACACTTTTTGGTTCGTTACTCTCCTCCATTCCGGTGAAATTTTGTTCGCGGTCTGACTGTAACAACACTCCAACTCCAAATGATTTTAAAATTTCTAGTGTCGTTCGTTAGTACTAAAATAAAAAAAAAACCTCTCTGTACTGATAAACGCATGTAAGTCGACTGCCGCTTATGATAGGCCGGGCAAGTTATGACTATTTATTTTGTTCTGGAAGTCTGGCTAAGACTGTTCAATAATGATTTATAACTCTTTGGCATTAAGAAACAGCGCATAGTTTAGAAATAGTTGTTTATTCCTAATAAAACACTACAACTACGATCACCCTACAGCTCTCGTGGTATTTTCTTTCTTTTATAGCTTTGTTCCAATTCAGTTCCTTGTAAAAATTTGCTAACTCAAATAAACGATCATTTTGGAATCACGCCCTTAAATAATTGCAATTTAGGCCACTTCACACCAACGAGGCGATCAACGATAGAGCTATACCGGATGACGGTTCTATTGGGGTGATCGCTGCTTTTGGACCTCTCAATTCTAGAATGGAAGCGAACGCTCATATGCAGAAAGACAGAACGAAAGAGGAGGAAAGTATTGACTTCAGCGACCGATACGACCATCAGTGTACGATCACTCTAGACGAACTACCGCAAGAATATGACGTCACTCCGTGGCCTCCAGCTAGCATAATAGGTAATAGTTGCTGCGGTACACAAATCACCAAGAAAACTGATATATTATATTATATTTTATTTTTGAAGATGGGAACAACATAAGCTATCTTCTACCTTATTGGAAATTCACATTCGGAGAACGATCTGTTAATAAAGTATTTGTTAAGGCTATAGTTAAGCTAGCAACCCATTTTTTTTGAGAAGAAAGGGGGAAGAGTATAGGGACCACAATCCTTATTTTCATCGAGAACAGACAAGGGAGGAGAAAACTCATCTTTTGGGGTGGTTATTCTATTTATTGCGATTGTCAATATAGTATTATCTCTGCTGGTAGGGTTTAAAAACGCTTCCAAAGTAGTCCGCAAATAAGTCTCAAACTGAAGGAACCTCTGCCGACCCATTTTGAAGATACATCAAGTTTGGTATTGTCTTATTTCTATTTTTTATTACCATGAACTGTCAGAAATTCTGAAAAGAATAAAAACAAAACAATATATTTCCGCCTAATAGACATCTTGTGCACTTTTTTTTTGACTGATGAGTTTAACTGTGACATAGCTAAAGTAGAAAGCAAGTTTGTTGGTTAACTGTCTTTTTGGAACATACTGATCACCTCGTGCAAGTGGTTGCAAATGATAAAGCCCAAACAGGAATCTAGAGTGCGTTTCGGAGTTTTAGGAAGAGAACAACAACTTTAAAATTTAAACTTTCTTTTATGGTGTTGAACTTCGTTGACTAAAACGTCGAACCCAGTCACCAGTTACCCAGTTTATTATTGGCTTATTGAATAATATCAAATCTAGGATTCTATTATTATGATACTGATGAATAGATACTAGTTAGAACAATGAGGGTACAACTATAGTTCCGAAAAATACTAATTTTGAACCATACTCATTTATTCCATTTATTTTTAGGTCATTTGAAAAGAGTCTTAACTTTCTTTAATTAAATAAATTTAATTAATTAAAAAATATATATATTACACAAATTTAAACTTGCAAAACTCTTGACTGTTCCGAGTAATGTAATTACTAATATAATGTGTCTCATATATAGCGGTTTCCTCTGTTTAATAGTCATTACAACTTTTGTTTTTTCATATGTCTTAGAACTTCAGCATTCTCGGCACTTATGAAATTCGTAATATTCTTCTCGATACACCCAGAATTCCAAAGTTTCTATTTTCTTTATATCGCTTTTTTAGCGTCCAAGATTCCACGCCATAACATATTTTCACTTCCAAGTTAAGATCTTTTTATTTTTGATTTTCCGAAAGCTGTCAGCATTTTCATTACCTAAGAACCTAAGTATTTGTAATTTCTAACTCTTTCAATAGGTTCGGCATGTATTTATACGTAGCCGATTCTATATGTTTACTATTTCTTATTCTTGTAATTTAGTGTAAGAAATTACGAACATCTTAAAGGGATATTTGGAAGGATACATTAGAAAATTACATCGGATAAATTGTAAAATGAGCAGCTGTAAATATTAATTTGGAACCAGAATATCATATTTATTGTCGAACCTACGAACATCTTAAATAAATAAAATAAAAAAATTGGTTTTTGCTCCTTATTGCTAAATAATTAAAATCGAATCATAACAACTACCCACATAAACGGTATTGTTGTTTTCTTGGTTTGTTAGTTTTCTACCATCACTACGTACCTGATACATAGACTACACCTTATTTATCGAAACTTGTCAATATGAGTCAGATGCCCGTTTGCGGTCATAGTCGTCATTTTTCTTTGCAGGAAAATATTACCAAAAAATAGCCTCTTTTTATTCGATTTGGACCGAACAAAATATCGACTCGCCATCAGGATGAGATCCAGATTCATAATAATATTATGAATATATAACATTTTATATAATTTCAATAACACCCTGCATTAATAAATTTTCAAGTTTTGGTTACTACCTTGTTAATTTTAGTTAATAGCTGAAAGTTAATAATAGTTAATAGTTTTACATTACCATCCGTAACCAAATAGTTTCAAACACTATTAAAGTCTATTGTTCAATTTGTTTCAAGAACATTTATTTGTTTCTATAGCATGCTTCTATAATTATTAAACTTTAACAAAAATTATTCGGTATTAATTGATTGAATGGAAATGTAAAAGGGCAATTTTCTTGAAAAGGCTTCATTCTATTGTAGAGGATATATTTTAAAGGCTTTTTAATGTCATATATTGTGCCTAGATAAGATACTGATAAGAAACGTGTTCAACGATCGCAAAGTCAAAGGTCTGATTTTAATTGATTTTAAACCAATTTCGATTATTTCAGCCTCCAGAAATTATTAGAAAACTATACCTGTTTTGCAAAAATAATCCATAAAGTAATCAATAAAGTAAAGTTGAAAAAGCCTAGCTCTATTTTGAAAAACCCCTCCCATTCAATTCTTATAGGATGAAATGCCGTGTGCTTCATAAGGTAGGAAACAATGCTACCCAGCGGTTGCCTGTATTATAATAACTACTATATTTTAAGTACCGCTTCCATTTCCGATGATTACTAAATTTTTTATATATTTGCAGGAGAAAATGTGTTTTATGTTAAAATCGGACCGAGCGGCGGCCAAAGGGGATTTTCTCCAAAAACCGGATTACCATCTTGGGGCATAGTGTTCTACATCAACGACCAACTAAGTCCAGATTTGACCGTGGAGAGAGGTCAAATGTACACGTTTGTGGTTGAAACCGGCGAACATAACAGCAATCCAGCACGGTGGGTACGACCTTTTACGCTGTAAAAAAAGTCAAGCATATTGTCAACAAGTTGCTATTCGTACACAATTTAAAACAAAGGAAAAAGACAAAATGAAAATTCTCCGTATCAAACTATCAAATTATTTTGTTTTCTTTCTTGAAATCATAGGAAACTTGTTAAAACGATAACTACGGTAATCACTTGACTATTTCTAACTTTAGGTCAATATTCTATAAAAACTTTTATGATCGATTGATGATTTATAACTTCATAACCCTAATAATAATAACGATATAATGAAGTTTCTTGCAAGTCGCATATGCATAAATATAACACGAACTTTTATATAAAACGAATACATGACAATTAATTCGGCACCCTCAGATCAACAGGGGTGTCTCCATGTATTCTGCAACTGGGTAGAAACAGTTCTCAGTCCAAGTTTTTTAGTAATATTTTTAAATTTTCCAGTTACCACCCTCTGTACATAACAGACTCGAACGAAGGCGCTTACGGACAACAGACCCCGGAACAAAGAAGTGAACAAACCATTTATGCCGGTGTAGACTTCGACAAAGACGGAAATCCGAATCCAACAGTGACAGGACGCTATTGCGAGTGGGCACATAAGAGTGTTGATATGGCCTTAGAATCAGAAACCTTTGAAGATTATATGAAAACACTGAGATTGGAATGCGATCAAGGCGAACCTGCCACCTTGAACTGGACAGTACCTATGGATGCCCCAGATTTGTTGTACTATCAAGTAAGTGCCGTAAGAATATAAAATTCGATAAACCAAATGAACTGAATAGTGCAGAATCCTAAATAAAATTTCATATATCGTCTGCAGCTAAATTTTTTTTGCATCTTCCCAGTTTTTGATCCGCTCTGGTCCAGAAATCAATCTATCAAAATGGAAACGGAAATTTCCTGCAGTTAAAAACTGCATCATGTTGATTTTGTTTGTTATCTTGCAATTTCTTTAACATGAATCACTAAATAGTATCACATTTTTTTATTGAGTGTTACGCACTTTAAAAATAGTTTAGCCGGGTTAGAAAGTTAGACCTAACATTGCGTCATCCGGTATTCAGTTACGTAAAACTATCTTAACCCGAAACACTGAACTGACAATTAAAACACTTATTATGAAGCGCTTTATCAATTGCATTTCATTACAGCCTCCCAAAAAATGAATCTGTAAATGACTGTGGTCCTTCCTTACATTGAAAACATTACTTAAAACATATCAAAAGTTTTTAAGACACATAATGTTAAAACCAGGTTTATCACTTGCCCAAAAATATCTCAACATCTTCGATGCATCAAAAATTTGTTTTTTTAATATTAACATTAATTTAATTCTAAATTTTCAAATTTTTGCTATAACAGATCGACGAAGTGTCCGGTGAAACACACTGTATATTCATGTTTTATGGTTTTTGAAAGAATGAAAATAATATGTTTTCCGATTAATTGTCTATGTGGTCTATAAATATTTGTAATACGTTTGTATTTAAAAATCATTGAGACAAGGAGATTGGACCATGAGTTTAGATTACTTAATTTGAAAACGTGTTTATTATCTCTGAAAATATGACTATTGATTTGCATATATTTCCTTAAAAAATAAGCACAACAAAAAACGGATGTAAGATGAACACGAAATTGTCAAATGTCAATTGTTAACAATTATAAAATTGGTTAAAGGTGTTTTTTACGATTAAGAACAGTCCGCTAATCCCGGACATATTTTAAAAATATTAACAATTATAAAGGGTCTTCTATAAAAACAAGACAATACTAATTTTTTTTTTTTAATGGAACCCCCATATATTTTTTAATATGCGAAAATTTCAAAAAGCGTGCTTTCTTATTATCTTCTATAACGCTCAATCCGCACCATTTATTATATCAAAAATAGAACCTAAGATAACAAAATATATTACTAAAACTAACTAAAATTACCCAGAAATAACCAAAACAAACGAACTTTCCAAAGTGACGAATTTTAGACTAATTTTCTTTGATTTTGTAAACTGTTGATTTGTAAATTTGTCAGTGAGCACTGAAAAAATAAAAATAAAAAATAAGGTTTTTGATATTATATTATATCTTGTTTTTATTTTTCAAAAATAGGCAGTTAATGATACTGGTTAATTACCCTAATGCAAACTTCAAAAAATACTACTAAGTGCTTAGTTGTTTAATATTCCCACTTATTGCCTTCATGAATATGCAGTTTAACGTGAAGTAGAGAGGACAGTTTCTCATAGAGAATAAGGTTACCTAGTACTATGAACAAATTGTCGAATTTTTATTTTGTTAAAATAAAATTCTTTTCTTTTTACGAGTATCCCACCGGCACGTTAATAAGCGGCAAAAACTATTGACCCAAGCCCTAGTGCTATTCGTGCGTATTCGTAAAGTTTTATTACTCTGCACCTTACTGCAATAGACTCTAAAAATTAAAAGCTGGCTATTTTTTTTTTCAGTGCTATAGTCACAGTTTCTTGGGTTGGAAAATTCACGTGGTTGATCCGGGTTATATCTCGGAACAGAATGGAGACGCCAAAGCCAGCGCAACTGCTCCGAGACATCTAAGAATAACAACACTCTTTCTAAGCTTGTGGGTAATACTAAAAGCGTGCAACCAATGGTTTATTTTCTAACATTCCTACGTCATTTAAATTTACCGACAATAATTTTTAATCGATAATAATTTTGATCGTTGTGTACAAATATTGACGTCGAAGACATGTTTCATCGCAAAAAATGCAAACGATAAATAATTCATGTGATGAACGACAATATGTAGTTCAACTTTTCGTACTATACAGGGCGACTCGCAGTGAGTGGCTGTTAGAGATGCACAACATTTAAGATAAAACCTTGAACGTAGTGTTTAAAAAAAGATTTTGCATATAAATACTAAGAACAATTAATTTTTTGACTAATTGATTATTGACTTTCAAAACACATTCTATATAGTTTTAGCACCTTAAAATTTAAATAAATATAGTTTATAAGGAGTAAGACCGGAAGATAAAAGAGGTATATAGGTCATGTGCAATAGAAACAAATTTCTCCTACTGTGCTGCCAATGTGATTGTAGTGTGAAATAAATGTTACCGCCAAAATATGAAAATATGTAGTAACTATCATTTTCAAGAGTTGTATGAACTAAGCAATTTCACCTTATGATAGTTTTCTTCTATATAAGGGCCAATAAACATATTATTGTTTAGATTTTCATATATTTAAAAAATTAAATAACAAAGTTTCAAGCGTATTCTCAATTTTTAATAAATAATAAATTACAAAGTAGAATATACGTACAGGCTCATCTAAATACGGGAATCTAAATATAATATAATAAATATAAATAAAATTTGATTTTAGACCAGCAGCGAAAGCTAATACACGAAATAAATGAAAACTTAAAAAAAGACCACTTTGTAAAAAGAGAATTCTGAAACCGTTATCACCATTAATGAGTAACATTTAAAATGAAACGCCGCTATGCTCTAATGTATTGTCAAAATTCTGATTTCTGTGTGCTTGGCTTTTGGTTTGGTTTGGTTTTATTTGGAACTTTATATTTTATATTTAGAATTTGTATTTTGAATTTTTTATGTAGCATAATGCTAAATAAATATTATATTATTATTATTATTATTATTAATTTATGATGTATAACCAGAATAATTTTTTTTAAAGGTTTATTTGACAACCTGTAAAAAAATCTTATTATTTATTATTGAAACACCCTGTTTCAATCTTTTCAAATAGGCGTCTGTTTTGTATTAAGGAAACAAGATAATTAACATGTTTTCAAGGATTGAAGTTGCTTAAAATTTGTGAAAATTAACTTCAAAAATTATAAGAGAAACCTTATAATCAATATTCAAAAAAGAAATATTCTACATCGTATTGCGTCAGCATTATTAAATAATATACATAATTGTGGTTCGGACTAAGAAATATTTTCCAACGTTTTTTTTATCCCTTTACAAATTCGAATGGACCATTTACTGTGAGTCACCCTGTACTTACGTACGTTTAAATACACTGCAGACTTTCTCGTGTATCCGGTATGTCTACATTATGTTTTGAAGTAACGAAAATTAACAGGTAAATTTGGACGTTTTGGTACTTAAACAATTATATTCCCTTGTTTCATAATATCGTTACATATCACTATAATTATTAAACATAACCTAGATTTAAGAAACTATTCATAACAGTCAGTCAATTTTGTGTCGTCTAACTCGTAATTGCCATTGTAAAACTGATGCTTCTTCTTGTACGAAACGTCAAGGTACTTCAAATATTTCTAACCGTAAATTCGTCTCTACAACTTCTTTTTGTATTTTGTATATAGTGTAATAATATAATTAATAATTTTGCTGCTGTATGCCTAAACTAAATAGGATTATAAATAAAATTTAGTACAGTCACAGACAATAAAATTTAGACAATAAAGTTGAAAATGACTTCAGACAATAACTTACATGTCAAACAATAATAAAATAACTTTAACGATAACAATGGCACCGAATCAAATCAGAAATTGTTTTTGTTTTAATAATGAATTGAAGAGATTAATAGGTCTTTTCAACATTATTTTATTTAACTAAATATCAAAATCTAATTTGCGATTACCACCAGAATACCATCGTTACAATTTTATATAAACATAAATCGCCCAAGGTGATATGATAGGGTACATTATCGTATTATTTATGTATTTTTTAACTAGTTTATTTAGTCATACCAAAATTATAAGGGAGTATATGAAATTTTGACAATATTTTAATACTCCTGCCTTATTGTCGATGACATCATAAAACATGTCAAAGTTATTGTCACAACATCCAACCGCGAAGGATGGCGGACTACTGTGCCTACATTTTGAATGAGTAAAAATTTCTTGAAGCTTTCAACATAGAATTAGAGGTTACTTTTCGATAAATAAATAAATAGAATGAAAAGGCTCCACGAGAGGAATTTTCTTGGGTAATTTTTCCCTAACTTTATTATAATTCTCTGGTGATTCTCAATGGTGACGGTCAAATTTGAACCACGTTGTTTATGCTTCTACACCTTAATCCGATCAAATAAAATGTTGCTATTGAAGAATGAAGATAAAATTCTTTTTAAAACCGATGACAGCTTGCGTGCGTTAAAAGTACGTAGAGTGCAGTTCAAATAGAAATCTTTTTGTAAAAACTTGGTGTCCGTTTGTAAAATTCAAACAGTTGAGACAAACAGAAATAGAATAAAGAACTAAGCAAATCGTAGGGACTAATCACATTTTTATGTTTTTTTCATCACCCAACTTGTAATTTTGATTTTTCACTACTGTTTTATTATGTATTAAAAGATCACTCACTGCTTTTATTTCATTTAATCTTGTATTAAAAAATAAATAAATAAATAATGAAGAATCAATTGAGATGATGATAATGTAAGTAATGTAGGTATATAGTTATTAATGTTCTATAGTTCTATAGATATTTGCACAACAATCAATCAAAATTAAAATGTGGAAAAAGTAGGTGCCGTTTGGTGTAGTGTTGCAAACCACATACATTTGCGACTATAAAGATCCAAATGATAATATACAGTATTTCAGAAATTCGCTTCTCACTATTGAAGATCTCAGTAACTGTAAGAGATACAAAATCGCCTTAAGGGTCTCAGTGTAAAGCGTTTTTGAAACTGAAAATATTGTGGTTTGTTTCGAAGCAATGCGGCAAAAACTTTGTCTTCTGGCCATATTATCTTCTTTTTTTTTTTAAATACCGCTGTTATTAAAAAAATATCTTTTTAATGATCTTGTCCATTTTTTTTATACAAATCGTGGTACGTCAAGGACTTTTAAGCCAGATAAAATAGGACAAAAATAAAAAATCTAATTCCAGAGGGCAAAAAATGTCATTTATTTAAAACTAGGTTAGGAAAATCTCCATATCTCCAAAACTACTCGGATTTTCTTAAGTTCAACTTTAGACTCAACGTCAAAATGCACAACTTTGCCCTCTAGTCGACTTTACATCTTGTATAGGGACTAAGATGCCAATAGGGGGAAGTGAATTTGTGACACCCTTTAGAAAATAATTCACCATTTGTGTGTCGTTTAGTATAGCGCTTTAATGCATATAACGTAATCAAAACTATATCTTTGTAAAATATGGTACTTAAAGCAAATTTAGTAATAGTAGGTTAAGAATAATGAGAAATTTGAAAACTTATGGTTGGTTATCAAATTTCGCAATCCCAACATGGTAAATAAACTGACAAAACGCCTAATAGGCTGTTTTAAGGATGACATATGTCAGTTGATTTATCCGTTGCAATCACGAATATCATAAATGACGACATATCGGCGAATGCCACTTAAATATAAGTACTTAGTAAATTACGCGTCTCTGTTGACGTTGGAATAATAGTTTGAAATAGCAAAATGCCAGAAGTTATCATTAGAAAAGGGTACAGAAAAACTTTAAGTTAAGGAATTTATATAATCTCTTAAATTATTATATACAGGGTGCTTGTATTTTTGTCGATAAATATAAACTTCCTGAGCACATTAAGACATTTTTCCATTATTTGTAAAATACATATTTCGTATATAATATGCTTTGTCTTACCTCCTCTGAGGAATTTTATGTTAAAATTGCACATTTACAAGCTCTAAATATGACTGAAAAAGGCTGAACTCTTGTATTTTATAATGTGCCGACTTTTTCAATGGGGGTGTGGAATACATGGGAATTTAAAGTCATGCTAGAGGTGGAGCAACAAATATTATAGAAAAATCTTTTTTTTTATTTTAATGTTTCCTTCGTAAGATATCGTACCATGAAATTTTAAATAGAACACTCTTCATTTTTGTGCATTTTTTCGTAATTTAAACAAAAAGTTAGCTAATGTTCTCATTAGTACTTCATATCCATCTTGTTTACGAGAAAAAAAACAACAAAAGATCAGAATATCGAGTTATGATAACCCGAAACATAACATTGCTAGGTTTAATTTTGCTTTATAGCGAAATAAATATGGGTTTCAATGCTTCCGTGGGGGACTGGGTTGTAATGTTGCGATTGCTGTAATTTTTTTATAAAAACAACAATCTTATTTTATACAGAGCGTTTCAAAATTAGATGAATAGATTTCAAGAGAAAATTTATCAGTCAAAAATAAGTCTATTTTTCATACAAACGTGTGTGATAACTTTCTTCGTTTTTGCGCAATTTACAGACAATTCGTTTTTTCATTTTTACCCAAAAAAGCAGTAAAAAATAATTATTTTTAGTCTTTCACTTTTTTCGTGGTGATTTTTGACTTTGACATCCTGTATAACGAAGCACTTTAGACTCATAATATGCCCTCAAAAGTTTTTTGTAGTGTGGAAAACGCTTCTTGTAAAATTCATGAAACTCATCGCACAGAAATTCCCCAGTTATTACCAAATAAATATGTAGTGTTTTTAATTTAACAACCTAAATAATTCCAACAGTCTAAATTTGCCATTTGCCTATAGAATAGTTCAAATTGGATCCTAACCATTGAGATCTCGGAAAGTTGTTAATTTCGGAGGCTAATAATATTGATTGATTGATTTCAATTGATAATGTAGAAGATCGAAAATTGAGAATTTCTTATATATTAGAACATATATTCGGATAAAAAAAAAATCTTTTTTGTTAACTCCAAGACCAAAATATTAGGCGTTAAAATTTTGAAATAATTCGTAAATGGTCATAAAAATTGTTTTACACATGATTTCAGTAAAAGAGGTTTGAACATTTCTTATTCTTAATGCTGTAGTTTCATGAAATGAAAGGTACCACAAACTCAAACAGGATGATTTTGAATATTTTTTGTTTCGCGTTTGACTTCTTGTGAAACTCACAAATTTTGATATAAAAACTAAACTAATGTTTTTTTTTAATAAAACACTTGTCTTTAAACAATTTTATTGAGCTCCTCAAGGAACAACTACCACATGAAAGGAATTTCAAATGTAACGCATATAATTTTATTTACTTTTTCCTAATGTACTTTAGGTCTCAAACAATGATGATTATTATTTTAATGTGCCTTCTCTTCCTACTAGTACCAATTCTTTTTGTAATCTAAAATTGACATTTCTGGTAAGGTAGGGTTCGCCGCGAAACCATCAAAATTGGGTCGCACTGTAGGGTAGGTGACGAACCTTACTGTAATTTCTGATCAAAGTGTCGGTTTGTCGTTTCGAAATAAATGGAAAAAAAATAATAAGCAAAATTGTGACGCAAAAATTTCGTTGAAAATGAATCACTTTTATGTTGTAGGTTGTTATCTTAACTTTCATACATTGCATATTGGAAGGTCTGAGCGGCTTTCAAAATAATTTTGAATAGTTTTAAATTTGTTTAACTTGGACTTTGGGATTTTCGTTGCCGTGAAAACAAAAACAATTTCTGCAGAAAATCAAATGACCCATTGGTGTAATGACAATAAAACAAAAAAAAGGACAATAAAGTCAATTAAGTACCTAAGTATTTAGAGGACAATAAGAGTGCGGCGGGCTATTTTGAAATCGATAAACCCAAAAAAACTTTAAAAACGCATCAGTCTAGCGTTAATAAAAATAAGTTAACTTTTTATGCAGTAGTTTTAAACTTGTATAATTTTAATAATGTTAAAGTTATTTTCTAAATAATATTGTGCTAATTTTCATATAAATATATAAAGGTGTAAAAAAGGAATTATAAATCTACATTAGCCTCGTTGGTGCGATAACTTCAGTTTAGACTACTGTGGGAAGGAATTAAGTCCAAAACGAAAATATTAAGATGTGATTTTTGTTTGCCATCGCCAATAACCGCTATACGGTAGATTATACTGGGTGCTTATTAATTGAGTGACGATAATTAAGGGTGTGATGTATGTCTTAATTTATGAGCTAAAGTGGATATTACAGTTTAAGCTTAATTAATAATTTTCTCATCACATTGTAATCATTAAGGATTACTTTTGACTTAAACAACTTAATAATTACCGAGGATATTGGTGTGGGGATTGAACTGTAGAGAGCAAGGTACGACAATGCTTTTTCTTTAAATTAAAATAATTTTTGAAATCCTTATTTTTGGAGCAAATTAGTAAAATAATGGGGCAAGAATTGGGCAAAAATTAACTTTATATATAAATTTATATTTTTCTTTCTTCTCGTTTTTTCTCTTCTGTATATTCTTCTATTCTCAGTTAATTAACACCCTGTAGTTAAGTTTTTGTTATATCCACATTTAGTCAAAAATGTTATTATTCTATGTTTCTGTATGTTTAAAAGTCATTGTTTATTGCGGCAGTTTTGCGGATTATGAGAGACTATTTGTACTCGTCGTTAATACATTTTGTTGCTTTGCTAACGGCATTTTTATATTACTCATATTTGAAAGATCGATGTTTCTGTACGGACAATATATTAAGTAAGCCTGATTTACCAAAATTTTGTAAATATACAGTGTTTAGACGTCATGTGTCCTAATTCACATTAAATGAATTGTTTGTAAGTTGACTTTGCTTGCTTTCCCTTAAAAAAAATCCATATCATTGGATTGAGTTTTCTTGGCCCTTTTCTCAAAAAATGGTAATTTATGTAGAAATAAAAATGAGCAGGTGTAAGTGGATGAGAATAACATAAATCAACTTTTTAGTTTTTCGGATAATCAATTTCACTGTTTGATCTAAACATTTTGATGATCACCACAATCACTCCTTTCTACAGTATATATATATATATATATATATATATATATATATATATATATATATATATATATATATATATATATATATATATATATATATATATATATATATGATGACACTATATTCCGGGATATTATCCGTTCGCTTGTTGAACTCCGACTGGAATCCTGCAGACGTTTCGCCAAAATCTCACTTGGCATCTTAGTTTCCGGAGCGCGAGCATTGAAGATGCCAAGTGAGATTTTGGCGAAACGTCTGCAGGATTCCAGTCGGAGTTCAACAAGCGAACGGATGATATCCCGGAATATTGTGTCATCACATTTTTCCATCCGTGAATCAATACGTTATTTTGTATTTTTAGGTTCACGAGATTATTTAATCCAAAATTTGTTTTTAAAAAATCTTATTTTCATCCTTACTGCCGAAGCAGATTTGAATGCTGAAAGTAATAGTTTTGCCACGTGCTAAACCCCCTATCCTGGAGGGTCGAGATTTATTTTTTTATTTATTAAAGGCGACAAAAATTTGCCCAATAAAACGCCACTTAAACACAAAACAAGAAAATATACGAGAATTTAATTCTATAAAAAAGCAAAGCAATACGAGCTCTACTTAAGTGGGGTCGTCAACCAAACCAAGAAAGTCACCTGCGCGAAACTGAAATGCGATTTCTACGATCAGTGAAGGGATATACAATTCACGTTCGCTTTCGAAATACAGATATAAGGGAGGTATGAAGAGGTCACAAGTCGATACCATAAAGTAAAAGAAAATAGGAAAAATTGAGTTGACCATATAACTAAGATGAACCCAGAAAGATTTACCGCACAAATTCTAGACTAGTTTAGGGAGACCTAGAAAGAGAAGGGTGCCGTAACAGTCAAATTAATTCTTGAATTGTAAGAGAAAACTTACATTACATTGAAAATTGCATCTGGACGGCTATAATCACAAGAAATGCCAGTTCGATTGGTTGTTTTAAAGAAATAGTGCTTTTTTTTTCGGATAAACTAGTTTTTTTAAATAGTATCCTAGTGGATTTGGATTATAATGAAAAACAATTAATTGACAAATGAAGAAAATGCAAAATGCTTGGAATGCATCAAAAAAGAGTATTCAATAAAATCATCAGCCTGTTTTAATACAGGATGTTTTGAAAGTATGACAAAAACAACATTTTGATTTTCCCTGTAATTGTAATTATTGGAATAATAAACTAATTCAATAAAACGGCCAAAAAATGAAAATTGAACACAAAAAAATATTTAAACTGCTTTGCAACAACTAAATACCAGTTTTTAGATATCTGTCCGTCCCATATCTTCTGTTTACTAAAAACATGATTATGTTCATGAAACGGTGTAGATTGCAACAAGTTCAATAAAACAAGTAATAATAGCTAAATGTTCTTTAATGATACAATTGTTACAATATGGCTTACAGATTTTATACACTTTTAAAAAGAAATAACCACAAAAGCTTTTTTTACCTAAACTCCGACTTTATATGTGTAACAACTTCCAATATTACTAACAATGACATAGTTTACTAATCACACATGCAATAAATTTAAAAAGAAATGGAAGAGATATAAAGCGCCCGGCATTTAACAACAAAATTTCATAATAAACAATTCTAAAATTTATAATTATATAAATAAAATAAAATAATGAGATTAAAACAATTAACCATATTTGTTCATAGAGAAACTTAAAACCACATCATAGAGTAATAAAACTGCATCAACCCACTTAAGTGTTAGGTAGCGCATTAAGAGCAAAATGTATATATGTATATATTAAATTTATCTTTACGCACCATAAACAGAACATGAAGGATTGCTTTCTGTCCGTCCTTTTTCATGATTATATCAAAGTTTTTTCGCCGACTCCCAGCGTTTTCCATGGCCGAGGCCTAAAATCCTAAATCGACTTTAAGAAAGAACTAGATTGGGACTGTTCAACTGAACTAACCAAAGCTAACAATGTTATGTTTTACTTTCTTAAATAGAGGCATGGAAGGAGTAAAATAAAATAGTAAACCTTATGGGTTGGTCTTATTTGTGTTACTTTATTCATGTAATTTCGTTTGAATAAATAAAATATTCTTACGCGCAAAACCGGCACAGAACCTAGAGCGCCTGTGATCGCCGCAGAGTAAAAGGCGCGAAGAAGACAGGAACTCCTTATAAAGTCGTAGACATAAGTTACGATGATTTTTCAATTTTAAAAGACTAGTAACTTAAACTTCATTAATTTTTCATTGGGACAGTTTAGGCGATATTTTCAAAATAAATGACGCGTGTGTTTTCAAAGTAGAAAAAGGTGCTCCGGACACATTTTCCTGTAAAACATCTTATAGTGAAACTGACTACAGAAGTATAAGCATTACGCAAAGCAAAATGCTAAAAGGCGCGACTTTTACATCTTTTGGAAATCTGAATCTAGACCATGCTAATTGATTCCAATTCCAAAGAAAAAGTTTAATGACTTAATGGATTTGCTAAAAAGTTAAAGTAAAAAGACTGAAATGTCACGGGTTTTTAGTTACTTTGAAAATAGTATTTTTTACTTATTTTCCAAAAACCAGGACAGTTGGATGTTGCTTTTAACTGTAGAATAGCTTAGCTTTTCTTTACGAGCCATGATAATTCTTGTTTCTTATAATTTTAACAACAGCAGCTCTCTACCAAAAACTGTAGGTACGTTGTTTTTTATTGTTTACGTATTAAAATACTACTAATCTGATAGTGGTTTCTTTTAGTTTAGAAATAATACCTACTTCGACATGTATCAAAAACCATAGTTCGCTTGTTTTTTAGTTATAGCTTTTCGATGTTTTTTGTAGTTCTTGTTTATGTGCCAAAGTTTATAAAGGCACATTTTTTTGTGTTGTATTAATTTCTTGCCGTATTATATTTTTATAGGTATTTTTATATTAAAATTATGTTAAAACTTTCATCTACTGTTTTATTGAGAATTTTTTTTATCAAAATATTGCACTTTATTCGTGAAATTGATGTGTGCAAAAAAAATTATTTCAAAAAAACTCAAAAAATATTTGTTGTTTTAAAAAGAGAATAATACAACTCAATATATAATTATAAAGATCACTCACTATAAATGTTTTAATACGTAGGGGAGTTGATATGAGTTATCTCAATATTTCAGTTTTTATTTTCCTATATCACTGATTTTCTTTCAAATATTATTTTGTGGATGTGCCACTATTACACCCAATAAGCGATATGTTCTTTTATAAACGACTATTTGGGGTTCACTGAATTTTCTTTTATTTTCAAATTTAAAATTCAAGTTACACTCACTGCTGGAGCCGCTACAATTACACTATGTTTTCTCCTGACAATTTCCATACTTTCAATTAAGGTTATTACCCACCGTGATTTCAAAATTAATAAAATGCTGTTTGGAAGATTAAAGTTCATATTACAGAACACTAAACACTAAAGAACACAATAAAACTAATAAAACAAAAAAGAAAACAAAAACGACACAGGACAATATTTCTAACCGCTAATATAGGTTAGATCTATAGAGAAAACTAATAAAGAGTGACGAATTGAACGAGAACAATCTGAGAATAAATCAGAATGAATTTGTAAGCAAAATTCTAATTTTATATAGTATTGTTTTGTTTTATACTCTGCCTTTATATGTGTGGACCTGTATGGTTAGTGAAAAATGAAGCAAAACTCCAAAACAAAAGTAAATTGAAAGTGAGTTTATTGTATAGTTGAATAAAAGTTAAATAAATATAAAATTAAAAAATATATCTATTTTTTAAATTTTAGTTCTTATAATTAGGATTTTGCTTGCAATAATTCAAACCCAATGAGTTTTTGGCTTAATTATGTGTGTGTATTCTGTTGTTTGTTGTGTATGTTTTTCTCACGTTTTGTATTATTTATTTTTGAAATAGAGCAATATTAATTAGGAAAGATTACAGTTTTATTACATTTTTCTAAAATTCTAAGATAACGGGGCGCTGAAGACTACCTTATGTACAAAGGAATCTACACTCACCAACCCACCAGTGTGGTACCAACCACAGGTTAGACAAAGATGAAGAGGAAGTGACCCTTTATATCCTGTTTATGTTCCATATTTACCTGTTGGATATCAATTTCATCCTGATTTCGATATAATTCAGTGAATTACACATGTTTATCTTGGAACACCGTCGACACACGAGTATTTTCTAATCAACATTATAACGCGGAAATTTACACCCTAACCTACCGGTACTAAGGGACTTATACGGTATATCAATGACATAAACCCACTAAATAGATATCTGATACAATGGTCTATCAATTCAAGATTAGCATCTAGTCTCGTATAGTCCACTCCGGCCAATATATCTGACCCATTTAATTACGTCGTGATCGGAATAGTTGAGTTTTGGCTCGAAGACTTTCAAGTATCGAACCTTAAATCCAGATGGGGCAAATGGCACCTCAAAGTTCATCGAAATGGGAGGACGAGTCCACTTCTTCTTGGTGTCGGTTTCCAATAGCTCGATTTCTGCTGACAATTGGGTTTCTTTCATTCCCGTCATTCGTTTGATTCTAAACAAAAAAGAAATGTTTCTGAATTACCTCTCTCTCCTGGCTTTGTATTTTTTTCAACGAAGGTCCTCTCTATCAGTTGATAAGATATTAGTCTGCTAACGTTAATTAAACATTAATTTTTGTTACTATTGTATTATTGGAAAGAATACAGTTGAATAGTCATAGTTTATAGATGTTAGGATGATATTGTCTTGTAAATGGCTTGCAATCTGTTAGACAAGAAAGCCTATTATACTTGATAACTTTAAATGGTAGGAAAAACTACTCAGAATCTACAAGAACAAATACAACTAATTAATATAAAAGAGTCAAAATAACAAACTGGCAATACTAGGTGGGCCAAATTGGTCACTTTTTAAGGATAATTCTCCTTGCTACATGAGATAGGCGAAAACTGATCGTTTCAGAGTTATAAGATATTTTTCAAAATTGAGCATTTTTCAAAAATGCCTGCGACATTTTTGCTTTGAAAAAAAAAACATTTTTTTTTGTTTCCCTTGCAATTCATATATCAACTTTTTCTCAATTTCTGTGGGCTCTCTTATTAACAGATTTTCAGGATTTTAAAAATGTTGCAAAAAAGCGTCGATTTTAAAAAGCATTTATCCCCACCAGGGTATTATTTGAAACAACTTGGATATCTTAAAATATTAGTTTGTTACTTTAAATGCTATTTGCCATTGGATCAAATAAGAAAAGTTTCATTAATCAAAGTAAGAAAAAAATATTTGGGACAATAGTTGTCTGCTGCTTAGAACAATCTCCCAAATCCAAATATGCAAGAAAATATAGTGCTTCATATCAAATTAAAAAATTACTGCCAAAAATTATAGTGCCTTGTGTCAACGCAAACATAAACAGTAAAATATTAAAATTAAGGTAATTTAAAATTCACACCCGCTAAATTCCTTCAGCATTTTTTACATTTTTTTTATTGTATAATGTCAGCTTATGAAAATTTCAATATTCAAACCACACAAAAAATGTAGCTAAATGCCATTGAAAACTGTTTTCAAATAAGAAATAAAATTTTAAAATGTTAGGAAAAATAAAAAGAATTAGCATAACCTCACTTTCATTTGTTATTGCTATTATAAGCAACCATTTTTAGTTAGGTCATCTGCAGTGACATCAAATTCAAACTTAATGTCTGGATAGCCCCCAATATTTACTTTTAGTAGTGCCAAAAAAGCGCATCATAAATACAGTTCTTACTTCCAAACTATAGCATTTTCAGAAGCTTTATATTTGGCTTTCCCCTTTAGGCAAATGAGCTGAACTCCAGATGTATTCAGCGGTGTGGGAATCTTAACTTCAATTTTTTGCCCCAGAAGGGAAGGCTTGAAGTTACTCTTCAACACAACTTTTACTTCCATCTTGGTGCGACCTACTTCACGCACCAAAGGAATCACCCTAAATGGCAAGGAGATATCTTTGGTTGTCCGATATCTGAAAAGAATTCCTTTATTTCATCTAGCAGCAAGAGCTTTTGCAGTAATCAACCTCATGAGCTCAAATTCACCGTCAGGTGGAATAAAACTAATGGAATGTTCGGTTTCAAATTTGCTTAATTTAACACACTGATGGAACTGACAGTCATCAATCACAACAACAGGTTTTCCCGATCTGGCGGGATCGGAATCAGATGTGGAACCCATGCCCCCCTTGCCTTTGGCTTCCATAACGATTTTATCATTAATGCCAAATTTACATTCTGGCATACCAGAAAGGTAGGATTTCATAACAACTTTACCAGCCACATGAGCAGAAAGTACTTGCCCTAAAGTTTAAAATTTCTATAATATATTTCACGAGTGAATTATAAAAAAAATCAGTAGATAACATACCTTGTGGAGACATTAATAGATTAACATATTCGAGAACATCCAAGAAGAGCTCATTCCTCCTGTATTTTATACCTTCACGTCTCCAGCCAATCTGGCCGGTAACCTGAGATGTTATTTGTGCTTGTTCCTCTTTGGTGGCAGATTTTATACCCTGTTGTGTGATAAAGGTTTTCAATACTCCAGTATCTGTATTTTGGGGATAACCAAAATCAAGGATTTCTGCAATTGAAAATCAAAAACAAACCAAATTATCGATAAGTAAACTTATTTTTGTTTAAAAGTTAATAGGTTCAAATTAAGCTTGGTAACAGATTGTTTTTTTTTTAACTAACTAACTGAGAAATTGATGCTTATAGAATATAACAGAATTTATATACTAACATTTAAACTTTTGATAATGATGATAGAATTAAATTTATGTATTTGGATAATGTATTAAATAAACATAAACATAAATCTACAAGCGATTAGTGCAAAATCATACTTACCATCCAATAACTCATAAATAAGAACAAAATTGTTTTTGATATTTTCTTCAGATATCTTGCCAAAGTAGGATTGCATTACTTCAATAATTTTAAGTAAAAACTCAAAGACCATTGCAGCATTAACATTTTGTTTGGTGACAGCTGCAATCCAAATATTGGCTCTCTAAAAATAAAAAATAAATTGGTGAATAAAAATGTTTGTTTCAGTGGAATATTCAACAGATGAACAATAGTCTATACTAAACACACCTTGATATGAAAAAATGAGGTACGAGCAATATTCGTAACAGGAGACCTGACTTGCTGCCTGGCATGAATAACATTTACCCTGAAGGCATCAACTGCATTTCTACCTATATCATCTCTGTATACTCGGGAGATTAAAACCTCACCCTTGTGATTGTAAACAAACAATCCTCCAATCATTGTGTCCTTTAACTAGTTCCTAAAATTGTGACCTAAAAAAAATATTGCAATGGCCAGTAGATAAATATTTTACGTAGGTCAGGAAATGGTGCGGAGGGTATGGAAGACAAATTTTTGTAACTGTGAATTTATAAAAAAGGAATAGGTATATTTTTAAATATTTAGACGCCACTGAAAAATAAAAATTACGTGAGTGTGGTAAGAGATCTAAATTAATCCTATGGTGTCCATTATAGGAACAATAATTACTTACATTATATTTATCAAAATCCGAAAATACAACGTTAATCCCAAAAAAAAAATTGTTAAATTTATAGGATTTTACTGACGTAAACTGACGTTTCCGCCCTCCAAAATTTACAGAACCTTCTTCTTCTTTTACTTCTGTTGGAACTTACAGAATCATTTCTTCTTCTTCTTCTTTCTTTTCATTGCATCCATATCCATGGATTACAAATAATAAATCTGGTACAAATCTTTATTTATAATAATTTTTCAAAAAAGCGATATTAATATAAGGCACTTGATCATTATCGGTAAGAATTTCTTCTTTCTTTTAATTGGATCCATATCCATAGATTATAAATAATAAATCTGCTACAAATTTTTATTTATAATAATTTTTCAAACAAGCGATATTAATATAAGGCACTTGATCATTATCGGTAAGAATTTTGGCATTAAATAAATAAGAATGTCGTTTCTTTAAAATTTTTCGAAACAATTTTTTGCGCTGTTGCTTGTTAGATAAAAGGGCGTAGTCAACAGCGGTTTCCGCTGGTAAAAATTTTTAAGTAAGCCGGAAGTTAATAAAATTAAAAAACAACATATTTAAGACAGAGTTTTATTCCTTAGATTCTTGAAATGAAAAAGTAGTACACCTGCATTTTTTAAATTTGTTTGTTTGTGTTTTCATTAGGTATTTTTCACTATGGAGTAATAGTAATAAACAAATAACGTAACATTTGAAAAAAACCGAAATATTGAAAGAAGTTGCTATAAAAAGTCTTACATAATATTATTCAAGACATTCATTCTACTAATGATTTAAGTTTGTTGAATCCCTATCGACACATTCATTCGATTCTAAGCGTCAATTAACAGAGTTTAAAAAGAATGAAAATAAAAAAATGCAGAAAACGCATGGAAATTAAATTGCAACATAATAATTATTGCATTAATTGCATGTTGTTTTTCTCAATGCGTTTGATAACAATTAATGTTAATGCACACGCTATAATGGATAGCACTTAAGAGGGACTCATACAGTTTGTTGCTAAAAGCGCCAAAGTTATAAAAGTTATTAAAAAACGCATAAATGTTAAACTATTTTATAATGTCTAGTAAGGAAAAATGCAATAATGTATGTATATTTTTCTATAACTTTAAACGACTTAAATTAAAAGTGCACATGCTACAAAGTTTGTTTAAGCTACTGAAAAAATAAAAAATGATGCATATAATCTTAAATTAATAAAACTAATAATATACATAAAATGAAATCAGACTTTATAACATGTTTGTTCCTCATCCTTGTTATCTAACATTAGAAAAATTAAACTTGCTAAACCCATTTAGTGAACAGTTCAAGTTCAATTATGTAATTCACAATATCTGTTGGGCCAAACTGCTATGATCATTCGCCCATTGCCGACTTCACTAAAAGATTTTCGCTATTGGTAAATGACCAACACGTAAAAGTAAGAAATATAACCAATATTTGCACAGCTCTCAAAAAAAGGATTTTGACCGATACCAAAAAAAACGACTTCCCCCGCTACCCTCGCGGATCATCAGGGTGCATCCGGCCTCCATACCGGCGTGAACAGGAAAAAAGAACGGGACGTCAACGATTATAACTCTAAAACATGCACTGAACACTAAAAACATTAAATCCATACAGTGGAGACCGATTTCAATTTTTTGAGGACGAATACAAAGGATTCTGTCGTGAGCGAAAGAAAGTTAAACCTCCGACAATGCCACCGAAATACTCCATTCACTGAACAGAAAATATCTTTTCTTTTCTTCATGATAATATCAGGACAACCAATATACTTAAAACCAAAAAGCCAGTTCGCGGTAGGTGTGCCAACAAAATCCAATCTCATTAAGTATTTGGTTTAAATTTCTCATATATCGTAGATGATATCTAGGCGCTTTACAATTTATCCGCATATTTCCGGGAGTTTGTAGCTATTTCTGACCTATTTCGAATGAAGCTATTTTCGAACTTAGCTTTGGCGTCAAATTATTGAAGTAACCAATCAGTGCGACTCACGAATAAAATAAAGGCGGCGGATTTCAAACAATCTCCTCGCAACCGGGCTAACGGAGTAAACATTCGCGACGTTTTGGCATTTGTATTTCGAAAATTTGTTAAAATAGAAGCACGATGAGGGAAATAGTTCACATTCAAGCCGGCCAGTGCGGCAATCAAATAGGTGCAAAAGTAAGTCGCAGCAGCACTCCTCGCCGACTTTTTAAGGTGAACGACTTTGTTTCAGTTTTGGGAAGTGATTTCTGACGAGCACGGAATAGATCCGACCGGTACGTATCACGGAGACTCTGACCTGCAGCTGGAAAGGATCAACGTGTACTACAATGAAGCGACGGGGGGCAAATACGTCCCTCGGGCCGTCTTAGTAGATCTAGAACCAGGCACCATGGACTCTGTTCGTTCCGGGCCGTTCGGGCAAATATTCCGACCAGACAATTTCGTTTTCGGACAAAGCGGAGCCGGCAACAATTGGGCCAAAGGCCACTACACGGAAGGAGCGGAACTGGTCGATTCGGTGTTGGACGTGGTGAGGAAGGAAGCGGAGGGTTGCGACTGCATGCAGGGGTTCCAGTTGACCCACTCGTTGGGAGGCGGTACCGGGTCGGGCTTGGGCACCTTACTGATATCCAAAATAAGGGAGGAATACCCGGACCGAATCATGAACACGTTTTCGGTGGTACCGTCGCCGAAGGTGTCCGATACCGTGGTCGAGCCGTACAACGCGACACTATCCGTGCACCAGCTGGTGGAAAACACGGACGAGACGTACTGCATAGATAACGAAGCGTTGTACGATATCTGCTTCAGAACGTTGAAGCTCACTACTCCCACTTACGGCGACCTGAACCACTTGGTGTCAGCCACGATGTCGGGAGTGACCACCTGTCTGAGGTTTCCCGGTCAGCTGAACTCGGATCTGCGCAAACTCGCCGTCAACATGGTACCGTTTCCGCGTCTGCACTTTTTCATGCCAGGTTTCGCGCCGTTGACGTCACGCGGTAGTCAGCAGTACCGCGCACTCACCGTTCCCGAATTGGTACTGCAGATGTTCGACGCGAAAAACATGATGGCCGCTTGTGACCCGCGTCACGGCCGCTACCTGACTGTCGCGGCCATTTTCCGCGGCAGGATGTCGATGAAAGAAGTGGACGAGCAGATGCTCAACATCCAGAACAAGAACAGCAGTTACTTCGTCGAATGGATCCCGAACAATGTCAAAACTGCGGTCTGCGACATACCTCCGCGCGGTTTGAAAATGTCCGCCACCTTTATCGGCAACTCGACGTGCATTCAAGAACTGTTCAAGAGGATTTCGGAACAGTTTACCGCGATGTTTCGCAGGAAGGCGTTCCTCCATTGGTACACCGGCGAGGGCATGGACGAGATGGAGTTTACTGAGGCGGAAAGTAACATGAACGACTTGGTGTCCGAATACCAGCAGTACCAAGAAGCGACGGCCGAGGAGGAGGGAGAGTTCGACGAGGAAGAGGAAGGGGACGAGGGGGAAAATTGAGGGCAATATTTCCGTACCTACTTAGTATTGGTGTGATATGAGTTTAACTTTGGACATCGTTAATAAATGTTTAAGCAAATTGTAATGTATTTTCGAATGTAAACGCGAATTGAAACGAGATGACATTTTATTTCTTGTACAGAATTAATAAAAGTTATTTTCAACACGTATTATTCCAAATATAAATTCAAACAATTATTCAGTATTAGGGTTAACGATATTTCGCAACCATCAAGTGAACTTTATTATTTTGTCTACTAACACTACCGAGGATCTCAGTGCGTTACTTAAATTGAAACACTAAAAATAAATTGGTTAGTTAGGGATAACAAAATTTGGCCGCCATTAGTGTAATTTGTTAAATACGTCCTGTCTTATTATTTTGCCTACTAACACGATAAACAATTCCGGATTAATTTTTGAGACAAACCGAGGTACAAATACGACATCGTTTTTCTGCTCCCTTCTAGCATGCGGAAATCATTATTTTACCACGTTAATTACCTAGGAAAACCATAATAGTATATTATGGAACAAGTTCGGTAAACGGCATTTGACTCACGAGTTTATTTGACACGAGCGGAGCGAGTTAAAAATTTTACCGAACGTGTTGCATACTATACTTTTTCTACGACCGTTAATTTGTGGGTACATTTTCGCAAAACAACACGAATATATGACCGATTGCTCCCAAACCCGTGCGGTAAAATCCCGGAAATGTCCGAAGTGGCTCGAATACGTGGGAAACGAAACTGACATGGCAAAGTGGCACTTCCCGCACGCTAGATCGGTGAGTAATTAGGCATTTTCCAGACGGGGGTAGAAAAAAGCTATAATGTGCATTTGTCCAAATCACCCGAGGCACCGGCGACGAACTCCCGAAAGCGGCCGAAACATTTATCCAAATAAAGAAAAAGGTTAAAATACAAGTGTAAATACGGCTCAGATAGCAAATTAATTTATAAAATGCCGTCAAATTATTTTACATTGGTTAATTATCTAAATAGGTGGTTTCCACTATACAGTGTACAAATAAAATAAAATTAACAGTTTACAAAATAACGCAGAGGTCATTGGACATGATATAAAGAACAACAATTTACGCTATTGTTTAAGCCAAAAAAAATGTACTTCTATTAAACTTCTATTAAACATACTACAATGAAGGTGTTGCTAGGTATTTGATTGGAACCTAAGGGATTTTTATTTTACAATTTCACCTTTTAAACTCATTAAGTAATGGGCGCTGTTCTTTTCTAAAATTTTAATGCAATTTCATTTTTTTTATAATTGTTATCCTGATAACTACTTAGGTAACTTTTATTTTTTGATTCTTGGATATGCTAGGTAGCTGGTTAATTTTTTGCATAATCCAAAGTGTTTTAATTGACAACTATATCTCCAAAATAGTCGCAGCTGAAGTATTGGATAAAGATATTGATAAATCATATCGCTTATTGAATAAATTTAAAAATCATCAATAATTTTAGCTGTGAGAACAACTGGGCACACGTTTTTATTAACCTTTCATGATTCGTGATAATCGCCGTATGCAAATGTCCGAGTAAAAGGTACCTGAATACAATTTTACTATGATAATTAAATTAAAAATTAAATTAAATTAAAATAATTGTCAACTTTTAAACAAACACATTATATTATAAAATATATTTGGAGATCTTTAAACTTTGCTCTTACGTCATCATAAAAAATTCAACTGCGTCATCGTCCTGATGGCTCGCCTCTGTATCGAAAAAACTCTTTCGGTATGTGAGGAGTGACCGCAAACTAAAATTGCGTAGCTAGATAATCCCTGAAAGAACGAAAAATATACCATTCTGACTATACTTTGAGAGACCTCGTCGACCAAACCTCGCAACAAGTACACCACTCTGGAGAGCTTCTCACAAAGACCAATAATATGCTGCTTGAACGTTAATTTCGGATCAAGCAGAACCCCAAGACAGTTCACAAGTAATGAATTGTTGAATGTTGACTCGCGTAAGGAAAATATAATTTGTTGTGTTTTAGATTCATTGAGGTTAATTTTGTTAGCACGAAACCACTAGCCGCGGACTGGGCCCCCTCGATCCTGTGCACCAAGTCGTTCTCAGAATGACTTCGACAAGAAAAAGTAGTATCATCCGCGAACAATGTACAAACTATGTCAGCAACGTGCTCAGGGAGATCGTTTATATAGATCAAGAATGGAAGAGGGCTCATAATGGATCCTTGAGGTACTCCATGCTCAACAACTCTAATTTGTGATGATTTTCCATTCAGGACCACGATCTGCCTCCTGCTGAAAAGATAACTTTGAAGGAATCCAACCGATGAGGAATCCACACCTTACCTCTGCAATTTACTCAGAAGAGCAGGATACCGGACACAGTCGAACGCTTTCGAAAGATCGCATAGGACTGTGCCGGAGTACTCTCTACCTTCAAAAACTGCGTAAACCTGATCAAGAACTCTACTAATCGCTCTACAAGTCGATCTACCACGTCTAAACCCAAACTGGGCCGCAGACAACAAACGGTTGTCCTCGTAGAATATTTTCAAGAATTTTACCGATTGTGGGGATAATAGATATTGGACGAAAATTATTTATATCATTTACATCGCCCTTCTTGAAAACTGTACTCACTCTGGACAACATTAAGGAGTTGGGATATACGCCCGTTCACCAGCTTAGTCAATGGAATAACTATTAAGTCTTTAATGTATTGGATAATATTGATATTTATATCATATATGTCTTTACTATCATTACACTTAAAACTGGTCAGGATGTCTCTCATTTCAATTAAAATAGAAAATGTAGAATTAGAAAACCGGGAAAAACATAGCTAATGAATAAAGTATTATTTTGTTTATCAACAGTTAAAAATAGTAAAAGGCTGCTGTATTGGAAATAATTATACATCATTTAAAATTTACGCTCCATACGTACAAATCCAATCAAGCCTAAGTGATCTAAGTCTACAGTCCGCTAACTCTTTTTACGTAAATAAAACCAAAAGCATGTTAAACTTTGTCAAAGTCAGTGCCAGATAGAGTGGATTTTGATTGACTCTTAAAAATATGAAATAAAAAGGTATGGTAAAAGGAAATGTATAGTAGGAACGGGTCGTCGACATCAGACGCCAGAACCGGATTTACATCAGACAGAGGGATACTTACGAGATACCCCGTATAATGGCAACTACTTCGACGCATGCAGCACATTCTACAAAATTACATTAATTATATTTATATTTATATGTAATAAACAAGGTGGAACTATAAGCAATAACGCAATAATAAATCAAATAACAATAAACGATAACGACAGAGGAACTTTTATTTCTATCGCACTGGTTTTAAATGAGTAAAAGTTACCGACGAACGGAGATCAAGCTTTAACTGATTATACGCTATAAACATTCTGTCAAGAGGCGAGTGCAGTACACCCTGTAGTAGCACGATGTGAATGAATTCAATACATTATGTTATTACAACTCATCTGACCACCGTTTAGCTGTATGAGATTTAAAAGAGCTGGGCAATGATACGTACCATTAAAAATTATTTATAGAGTTAATACACCAACTCCAAACCCCTTCTAACTTGAAGAGAGTCAATTTAATCACATTAGAATCGATATGATAACCATTACATAAGTTGATTTGTGCCTACCAACCCAAAATATTTTAAAAACGCTCTCTGAACAGCCTCAATGTTACCCATACACCATCCCCCTGATGCATACTCAATTCCCGAGGTTCACAAATATGAAATCTTGTTGGTTGTAATAACCTCGATTACAGTGTAATTAAGTGAGTGAGATCTCAACTCTGGTGCTTGACACTTGAGGAACACAGACGTTTTTTTTTTTAATGTGATCAGTAAACGAATCCATTAATTGTTTGAATAATATGGTAATTTTCACGAAAGAAAATCTACATTGCATTTACCATCTGTTGAACCGAAAATTGCCGCCGGTTGGCTTTAATTCGGAATTATTTTTTACCCACTTTCGCTCCATAGAGCGCTCCATGAGCTGCGAGATAAATTATTACTGCATGGAAAATCACATCGCGGCTGAAAATCGCCTTTTCAGGATTACCAGCGTTCCGTTCGGCCGAAGTCGTTTCCAAAACGATCGTTACCGAAAGTCAGACAGGTGGTTTGTACCGCACAGTTTCAGTCAGAACGGAAGTAAACCCCCAGCGAAGCACGGGTATCGATTTGACAACACTGCGCGTATTTTTCAGTTGTGTGTTACCTGAAATATTTATACGGCAATACGCGGGGTAGTTTGTTTAACCTGAACCCGAAGCAAAATATTAGAACGTTCATCGTTTGTATTTCTTTCAAAAAGGTACGTTTATCAATTGTTGTATTTGTTTTTGTTGTTGCTGTATTTTCGGTTTTAAAAGCGTTTAAATGCATAATTGCAATTAAAGCTCAGCTTCGCATTAATTTTGATTAGCATCAAAATGTTGATTTGATGTTTAAATTTGAGATTCAATTTAAAAGGTATCTTAAGAGAAAATTAAATTTATATAAACGCTTATATTAAGGGGATCTGCAATCGGGATTTAAAATTTGTAATTTCTCGTTTTGGAATGTGAGAATTAGAAGTTTACTTATTTAATTTTCCAAGAGGCGAGCAAGAAAAGCCTTTTTCACTAGTGTATGTGTGTATGTGTGCGCTATGCCTAACTTAGTGGAATATTTACTAAACCTGTTTCTACAGGGTAATTCAAGCCCAGACTTAAACACAATCGAACAAATATAAATAATATGTCTATGTCAATTGCAATTCTGCGTTTTTGAAAAGATCGTGGCTACTCAACTAAGCGAACATCTTGTTGCTAATAATATGATCGCAAATACCCAATCTGACTTTCGCGCATTCCATAGCACTACAACTGCTTTAATTAAATCAAATAATCTGTCAGTTCCTGGCCGGAAACTGTTAAAATAGAAAAAAATCGAGGGCACCTGATAAGGGAACTTCCCTGGGCTTATGGATCAATTCGTCCGCGAAACTTAAAATTCTATATATACATAAAAACACTCTGAGCAATGACGTCACAATTAAGCTGTGAAATAGCTTATGAAAAAGCCAGGGATGCTCCACTCTCCAACGTGGTCTCCTTAGAGTACCTAAACGTAAGACCTCCCTTTTTGAGAAATCTTTTAGCTACAATGCCGATGAAGGGTTTAACAAAATCCTTAGTAGTATTAGAGAAGCTCTAAATATTTTAAGTTAAAAAAAAATAGTTAAGCTTATAAGGCTCAGTTGGGGGGTTGAATATTTCCTCGGTGTAGTTACATATTTCCACAGTGCAACTGAGTTGTTTCTTTTTCTCTATTGCAAATTATGTTTGATTCTAGTTTTTAAATGATATATCTGTTTTCTACTTACTCATTATGTTGATGTCATAATGAAGTGGTTATATGGATGTGTACCTTTGTACTTCTATTATTATAGTTTGTATATAGGCACGTAAAAGAAATAAAGAAACATTATTTTCATTATAAGGGAACAAGAAGAGGCACATTCTTTCCGTAAAAAGTTACTTACATATTGTAGTTTTTGGAATATTTTGCAGAATGTGTCAAATTGGACATATTTAAGAAGAAACTCTCCAAACTCGCAAACTAATGTCGGTGCATGAAACTAAATTTTCATAAAGCACTTACTTACAATAACAAAATATATTAAGTATAAAAACTAGGACACAAAGTTTGTTTGTTTTGTTGTTTTTATTTTTATTATCCTAACACAAACACATTTAATTTTGCAGTTTTTGAAAGTTTAACCTATAAAAGGCACTCAAAATTTGTTTTGTCTTGAAATATGCTTGTAAACTTTGCGATTGTTAGTAATTAGTAATGTTAATTATCATAATATGTGTGTTTTTTATTATTTAATTTTTATGATAAAAAATTTTTCAAAAAATATTTCTTATTAAATTGAATACCATAGGCATACATGGCAAAAATTTGGTGATAATATTGTACAGGGCATCCCTTTTTTCTGCTAATGTTTTTTCTTTAAAAATTTAAAATGCCAATGTATCCCAATAGGGCCATTTTACATAATCAAGTTTCAGCGTTATATGCAAAAATAGCAAAACAAAAGTATCAATTTTTTCACACAAAGAAACTTGTGTTATTGTGTTACTGTGTTGACCCATGTTTTTGACTCACCCTGTACATAATATTTTTAACAATTAACGCCAGGTCGCTTTTTGGTTAAAAAAAATCCGTTCATTTTCACGTTGTTTTTATTAAAAAATAATTATCTGATTAATTGCACTGGTTGTGAATTATCATGTGTACCCTGTAAAATTTCGCGCGTTTATTTATTTGGGTAACATAATAACAAACACACAAATTATTGGCGTGTTATTCGGTAATAATTGTCGATTTCAATTTTTTCATTATTTTCCTATTTAATTTTTAGATGTAACGATAGTGGTGGGACCACCCTGTTATATCGCCTGGTGCACACCGCAGGTATTTACCAATGACTGAAGTAGTTGGAACAGACAAGCACTGGAAGTGTACCGAAACCAATAATGGATACTTGAAGGTTAGATCACTTTAAATACCGTCGAACTTATTTTATTGTCATTTTTTTTATTCTTATTATGTATGTAACATTTTTCACTATATTCATGACTATTCCCGTTACTTTCGTATTACACAAGTTGTCCTAGAAGTGCTAAAACTATCAAACTATAGCTACTAGTTATATAGAGGAACTTTTAATGCCACCATGCAAAGAATGTTGAAAAGGACTTTTAAATATGCGTCATTTGAAATCTCCTGTGCAGTCACTAGACCTAGGGCCTGCTGAAGTCTAAGTGCTGTATGTAACTGTTATGCTACCGTTCGCCATTTACAGATACAGATCCAGACGTCGGAGCGGTGTTCAACAACCACCAGTTCGCCAATACTGCCAGATCTAGATATTTCATTGACATTTAGTACACTGCTTTTAAGCAAATAAACTCATTTTTGTTTTTGTGAAATTATATATGTATATATATATATATATATATATATATATATATATATATATATATATATATATATATATATATATATATATATATATATACGGTAAACTACCAAGTACCATTTTTTTCGAACTTTATTACGTTAATTGCCGCATAATCAACTTAAAAGTTAATAATGCATCGCATTCGCAACAATCTGAACGGACATCAAAAGACCAACATTTACAATTAAGTACCAGATTCGCTCAAAAATTTAAATTTCTTGGAAAATAATTTTTTATCAATTTTTACTCTTTATTTTTGGTTTAAATATTATAATGGTAGATATGTCTTTAATATATTTTTAAAGTATCTTCTATAGACAATAAAAGAAAGAAAAGAAGTTCATAACCATCTATATTTCCCATCGATTGTTTTCGTAAAAATTGATTGATTGATTAGTTTTCCCCTAAGGTAAGCCTTTTATGTGAAGTTTGGTTTCGTTGTACCGTTTTATTCTGACTCTGTTATAAAATATAGTTCAAAATATAGCACAAATTTGAAGCAGTTCTTGTGTGTCCTACTTCTCCAAAACTACTACTATGATGTATACCGTATCTTGGTAGCCAGCAATTCACATCCCAATAAGTGAATCAAATCTAATGGAAAAAATGCGCTTTGGAAATCCTCAAAATGTTATCTGGAAAAAATTCAAATGTTGAACCGATGCAAAAGGAAATGACGAACTAAAGATCGCCGCGTTATAAGTAAACTCAATTACGTATAGGGTAATTATCCCGGTTCTCTAATGAAACCGACTTCGCGATGCTCGTAATTGGCGTCAAACTTCCGAATTTTGTTTTCCTTCTTCTTTCATCGTCGATGAATATAATTACACAGCACACACCGAATCTAAGCGTTGATTAAGGTTTTCATTCACAAATCGAAATTAAAAATATCTAGCTCAATTTTAAGAACACTGATTTGAAATTTGGTATGGTTAACACCTAGAAAATTATTATTTGAGGTATTTTAAAGATTTTTAAAATCTACAGGGTGGTACGTTTTTGGGAGTTGAGGTTCTTTATTTTTTGCAATACGCTTGTGACACCTTGCTGTTACCAGTTTCTGATTAATTTCATGGACAAAATTCTGTAAAAATGTGATAAAATGTACTGAAATTGTAATATTAATAAACATCAGTTGCAAACTTTTTTGAGTTTTTATTTAAAAGCCACGGGTATATTTTAAAGTAGGACAGATGATATGTAGTTGACGAGTTCTGAATGGTTCCTAGTTTATACAGTTTTAGTAACTGCTACTAATTATTGTTTCAGCCAAAGGTAGAAGAATCGCTTTTAGGTAATAATGCCGTGAACACGGTTGTGCAAATGTCTGGAGGTGGTACTATGACGACGGTAACCCCAAGAGTCAAACCCGCCAAAGAAAAATGTCTCTTAGCCCTCGTACTAGCACTGATTATTTTCTCGGTAGTCTTATTACTAATGCTAGTTAGTACCAAACAGGAGACTTACAAAGGTAAGCAGATGATATTGTTTAGTTTAAGTTATGTCGTATGTTTATGGTAAGCTTGTGGTGGTACAATGTCAACGAAACTTACCACGTTTGCAAAATTTGCTTAACCATTTCAATAATTACTAATACGGATTAGTAAAAAATGACAATTCCGGTCAAATTGAAAAAATATATATTTTCAATTAAAAATTAGGGCAACGTGGTATATTCCGAAACATTTTCATTTACAAATAAAGCTCAAAGCTTTTACGTTCATTTTTATTTATTTATTATAAATTTGGTTTTATTTTATTTTATTTAAAGCACAGACTGTCAACAGTACAAAGTGACAATTAGTTTTCTGTTAATGTCAATTAATATTTAAAGTCTTGAGGACTCCATAGCACAGAAGAAAATTCATATTTGTTTTATGCTATCCAATATTCCTTTAAAAACTATAACTTTAAAGTGATTTAAACTCCAGTTTTAATACAGGGTTGTTCACGCTAAAGGACTCAGAAAGAATATTTTGGTCGAAATAAAAGGTTTTCAAAAAGTTTTCTTTTTGAGATATGTGAGCATCTGGTTAAGTGACTTTTTAAAATTACTTTCATATTATTTGTTTTTGAATTCTACGGTGAACATGAGTGTGAGTTTTAATAAGGTTTATGATACTTGAACCTTAAAGTTTTTAAAATAATTTAAATGTAACCACTTTTAGTTTCTCCATTACTTAAGATATTTAAATTATGTAAACGAAATTTACATCAAAGTGTAAGCTTGTTTGGGACATTCAAGTTACATATCTCAAAACTTTTATAGAGGTATCCAAAATTTTATTCTAATCCAATAAGAAATTTAAGTTACTATTATTTAAGTGCCAATGTATTTTTTGATTAGCCTTCGAATGCTGCTCTATATTTAAACCCTTCCAAAAGACGCAAAATTATGATTTGATAGTTGAAAATATCAGATGATTTATTGGATTTGTCTATTTGGTCTGGTCTTGCTGTAAGCTTAGTCTGTGAATTTGCAAGTTTTACAGCAGTCTTGATCAACTTTCTCTCATAATTTATATTGTAATATTTTTTGATATTGGCTCAAATTCTATTTTTAAAACTTACAAGTTGTGACAACTGCAACAATGAATGATAAAAACATAATCGAAAGGTCATTTACCCATACTTGTTTTGGGTAATCATCCTAACAATACCAATTCAAATGACTAACAATAACAGAGTGAGTCAAAATTTACAGTGCAAAGAAATTTCTAAATACCATATACCAAATAATTGCATATATTCCAATATTTCAGTTTCAATTTCAATTTTTTTTAATAGTCGATCTTATAAAAAGTCAAAGATTTTTTCATTTAAATTTTATTGTTAATTTTTAATCACCCTGCATATACTTCTTTTTAAAACATCAACACGGACCATAAGAACATCACTTTCAAATGTAAAAGAAAAGCTTTCAGTCAGAGAAATCGATAGATATACTAAGACGACCACAAGTCACTTTTGATATAAAATTCTAAATATACAAAAAACGATAAGACGTACTACATATGGAATATCTTTATAATGTTCCGAGCAATACTAAAAAGCCTTAATATACAGGGTGTTCTATTTAAAATAAGAATATTTTTACTCTTCCACAAAAGTACCACCTATAGATATAACGATATAATATGTTAAAAGCATAAGAGAATACCAACAACTTTTGTCGTTTGTTGTTATCTCATAATAAACGGGCCATCCGGTATGTCGATATAGACAACTGGAATTCATTTTAGACTTTGAATTTTGCTTAAAATATGTGCTCCCAATTTCATAACACTGTATTTTTTAATCGCCTCGTCGAAAGGACCACTCTATGTAATAAAGAATTATAGTATCGACAATTTTATTTTTAGCACCGATTGGTTAAATCAAATGAAAAACATCGCGATGGCAAAGGGACTTGTAGTTTACCAAATCGATAGGAGGATGGAGTAAAAATACAGGTCAACAAATATTCCTAATTTATGAAAAAAATGTGAACCTAAGTCACATCCCTTATATTTCATATCTCTTATGAGTATATTATAGAACAAGTTTTATAAACGACACTTTAGTCACGAGTTAATTGCTTTAATAAGCGAGTTAATATGGACATGCGACTTTGTCGTTTCTTCGAAAAATTAGCATCAATTTTAACATTTTAAATTGAACACCCTGTATATTAACTTATTTTCGGTTTCGTCAGGAATTTCTGGATATTATTGAATAATTCCCTACTCTATCTTTGGTGCTTTTCTAGGAATTCGCGAAAGATGTGAGATTAGCCGATTTGTGGATTTTTTTATTATTTGAAAAGAAATGTGTATAAAATAGCAGTACAAAGTAAAAAAGTACTACGCGGTTGCATTATGTTTAGAATGTAGAACTCGCATAACTACGAGAATACGAATATTTTATTATTTTTATGTTTTTTGGTATTTTTCGTATATCGGATCATTTATGTTCTTGTTGTTATTTCTATTATTTGGCCACGTTGTTCGTGAAAAATAAACAAATTCATCAAAACTTGATTTGAGTAGTTCTCGCCTTCACTCATTTTTTGCCATAATAATGATTATTTCTATTTACACCAAAACAAGCACGCATTTTGAGCGCCCCTGTGTATTACAGAGCAAACTTGCCCACATAAAACAATTGCATGAGATCTTCGTAAACTATATATTTAAAATTTCAGTTCTATAATATTTACGAATTGAAATGTTCAATGTGTGTTTTAAACAAAGTTATATTTAATATATCGAAAACCGTTAAAAATACAATTTTAAATATCAAGGTATTTATTATTTTTTTAAAAGGCGTCGCGTCGCTGAAAATAGGTCATTTCTATTTCTCGTTCACCATAAATAAATAACTAATAATGATAATAATAAATAACTACCCTGAATCACCTTGTGAACTAAAGATAATAATTAACGCATCAGCCAGCAATATTAAGTGTCACTAAAGTGTAATTTATCGACCTTAATAACATATTATTGTCGGTGCTAACCCCACACCTGACACTAGACGCCAATACAGTAGGGGTAATACCAAAAAAACGTATCCTCATCTCCAAAAAGCAATTTAACTACCAACAATATACAATATGTTTAAATATTTAAATTTTCAAAAAATAATCTTTTCACGATGTAAAAATTGCAACATGTTATCACATTCGTTTTAATTTATGTTTTGTTAAAAAAAAATAATAAATAATAAATAAATTTGCTAAATTACAAAAAATTGAAAGAGGTTAACAAAATGAGTTCTATTTTAGAGCGGGTTTTCGTTACCTCAACTATTATAGAATTACGGAGTTCGAATTTATTGTCAAAATTACGTTATTTTAAAATAATTTACTAATTCTGCCCTAAGTAATTCAATTAGTCTGTTTAAATGATTTCCCGTTAGGCAATTTAATGTGATCATTAGAGTTTTGCTCCGTAATTTACATCATTTTCACGATTTAATGTGAGACAATTTTTTTTTAACTATTTGGAATTGGATTTGTTTTTCTTGTTAATGTTATAGCTGATTTTTTTAATATTTAAAAACATTTTATTATTTGATTAATCGACATCGAGTTGAGGCAAATTACAATCTTGTGATTTACAAATATTATATAATAGACGACCTATTATTAATCATCGCTGCAAACGTGACTAACATGACTTAAATACTTGAGAAATAGTAAAGTTTATTTAAAAATGTGTCCCTCATTATTTGCTAAAATTAAATGGCTATTTGAATTTAATACACTTAAATAGGTTTCTACTACTGGAAAGATAATAGTTATGCAATATGCTGATATACTTGCGTATCGAACTTGTTGCAATATTCGTATACTATTTAAAAAAAACTATTGTTGGCGCTGACCCCCCACCTGACACCAGCCACCAATACGGTAAAGTAAATGCCAAAAATGTAACTATACCTCCCAAAAACAACTAAATGACCATGACCGAAAGTCTAATTACCAATAATATACAACATGTTGGGAAACCAATGTAAGAGATGTAAGATGGAAGACTGGCCGGATTCAGTGTCTTTGTACAAAACTCAACTTTCTTTGGAAGAGGCCTTACAGCATAAATGCTTGTATCCTCTTAATTTTAAATTTTAATGTGTGTCTCTTGTCATTTAATATGATTTTGTTGGAATATCGTCATGGATTACACGAACTGCCGTCTATAATTACCTATGATATGTAGAGTGGAAACTACAAATAAAATACAAATTTACTGTTCCGAAAATAAAACGCAGAAGTAACGATCGTTTAGCTGCCTCGTCTGAGCGAAACCGAACTGTTTCTGGCTTATATTTTATTAAACGTAACGCCTATCTGATACGTTAACGTCAAGTGAAACACGTTTACGTCTAATAATATCGTGCTCGTAGGAATTTCGAAATAGTTTCTGGAAATAGAAATATTTATTTGACATGCAAGTCTAGTCGGACGGGAATATCAATTCGAGATATTTTATGAAAGGAGGAAAAAATCGATTTGCTGTCGTGGCAAAAATTCATCCTCAAAATTTTATATGAGTCTTATTTTTTAAAACGCTTTTATTTTGCAACCAATTGCCTGGATTTTATTATCAAACAAGTAAACACTTTTATTTTAATAACTATTAAAATTTTGCCTACAATAGTAAGCGAAAATGTTGTTTAAAGGTTCTGAAATAAAAATTAGCATAGAAGTTTCCTAGAGGAGAGAACAACTAGTATTATTAAAATGTCTGTAAAAGTTATGAAAGATATATTTGTGCCTTTTAATTAATAATAGAAAATCTCACAGGTTATATTTAAAAAAGGCAACTCCCAATACTCGAACAGTTATAGACGGACCTATCAGTTTGCTGCCTGAATTCTCTAAACTTTTTGAATTCGCTTCGCATAAACGCTTACTTAGCTTTCTAACAAATTGTAATTTACTACGCAATAATCAACATGGTTTTATAAAAGAAAAATCAAACTCAAACA